AATGTGTTTGGGATTATTTGGAGTAACCAACTTCTAAGACTGAACTTTAGAGAAAAATCTTGTTGTTACCAAGTCTTAATTTTGGATATGTTGATTTACTTAACTTTTACCTAATCCACTTTTTACTTCCTCACCCAGTTTTCTGAAAGTTAAGTCTGTTTTAAAATCCTGCAGTGCAGTAAATAACATTTCTGACAAGCTAGTGAAATAATGACACATGTTGGTAAGATACATGTTCACCCTGGGCTCCATATAAGAAACTGTCAAATGTATGACTTTAGAAAGATGGTCATTCTCAGCATTATATTCCTAGGCAGCACTATATTGCTTTAGCTGTCTACCTCCCCCTTGTAAACAGGATGAAAATTGCTAGCATCAGCTTGCCTGGCACAGATATGGAGTAACTCCTGTTTGCCTGAGGGAAGAAACTGTACAAGCATGGCCTCTGATAGGAGTGTGAATCTTTAGGTCCACTGCAGTTCAGCTAGTGCCTTTATTTAGAAATGCCGTCAGGTCCATTTCGATCTTGTATAAAATGGTCCATCATACATGGAGGCTGGATGTTTCCTCTCACGCATGATCCTTGCAGCTGCAATTAAGAGAGGCCAAAGTTATGTGGTGAATGGCTGGTTTGACCCTGTCTTACCCAATGTGTGCTATTGTTGGCACTAAATTTAGATACTTTGGCTTTGTCCTATTTAACTCACACTTAACTTAAGAACTGCTCCAGAATAGTTGTTACACAAGCATGTTTACATTGAGCATAGTAAAATGAATCAGCACGTGGTGTTTCTGTGAGTTGCTGTGTTTTCTTTAATAGCTTCTGAGAGAGCATGCTCACAAATTCAGAATGAAATGTGGAGAGATATTCCCATTCATGTGTTTGCTTGTGACCCAAACTAAATAAAAATCTTTTTTTGTCTTTATTAGGTTGTGTTCTTTACTTATCAAAATAAGCATGATCACAGCATTAAGTAATCACATTATTAAAGGAGAAATAGCTACTTTTTGCCTTTGCTTTAAAGAGTTAATGTTACACCTCATAGTGCACATAGTTTGAGAACAAAAATGTGTTATTTGAATTGGTTGTGGTTTTGGGTTTGTCATTGGAGAGGCCTGCTGTGAATCAGGCCTGTTGCCATATGAAGTTCAAGGATTTTGCAGTATCAGCCTTATACGTCATTTAGTGTAATATCCTTTGCACATTAAGCTGGACACAATTATCAGGATTTTGTTAGTTACATTCTGATTGGCTATCTGCACAGCCTTGTGAACGCACCTCTGTGCAACAGGTTATATTTGTCTGAAGGGAAACACAGTTGCAGGCTGTCGCCTGCTCTGCAAACTGTGATGGAGCCTTTCAGAATGAGAGAGTCACTGGATCTTTAACAGTTAGTAAAGAGTTTCTTTAAGCAATTAGTAGCTTTTTATCAAGCTATCTTTGCGAGTTTCCAGGCATATTTGTTTCCCGCAGGCTTGTTTTTGTTGCATCCCCATTTTGAATAATCACCCGCCACTAGATGTCACGCTGAAACAGCAGTCAGTAGTTGGTTATTTTGTGTGATGGTCAAGTGGCTTGTCCTCTCAAAGTAGGTGCTGCCACATTAAACAGCAAAATGCACCAAACTCAAAGAAGGCTGAGTGTTATGACATTGACTGATCCAGTGGGAGCTGCACTTCACTAATAAACATAACATGGCTTTTGAAACTCACAGCATGTGTGCTGTTGTTCATCTTTCATTTTGAACACAGTGTGGTCATCTTGCTTGTACTTTACTTCTACTTGTACTTCTGGAATAGATCTTGGCTTGAATGTATCATTCTAGGAAAATTCACCTCATTTACAGAAATGGTTCTTTTAGAACCATTTTTGGAAAGTTCTTCTGGAAATGAAAAGTTGTTCCTCTTTGGCATAAAGAACACAATTTGGTTACATTTAGCACCTTTTATTTTTAATAGTGGAAGTATATGCATGATGCTTATTGCTGCTTAGCAAGGAGTTAAGCAGCAAAGCCTTGAGGCGAAAAGGATGGCTGATGAGCACTAATTTATTCTTCGTTGGTAATAGTTTTCTATTTTTTTTCCTCAGAACTCTGTACTTTCCCTTTTATCTCCCTCATTGTCTCTGCAGTATGCTGGATAAACGTCAGGAGTAATATAAAGATACTATAGGGAAACTTTGCTGATTCTCCGGATCTCCTCAGCTGAGTCAGAGAGAGAGAGAGCTTTTTTGGTGCTGCCTCAACAGCATATATGGACCAGTGATGGGAGAGGGTATGGATTTTTCCTGTTCACCCACTGTGAAGCCCCTGCCACATGTAGCCCATCTGCATCTTTCATTAATTTGTGCAAGAGGCAGGAGCTGTGAAGAAGTCTGCAAACAGGCTTGACAGTTCTTGCATTTTTATGAGTGGATAATTTGCCAGATACCTGCCTTACAATAGTAATAGGATGGAGAAGAGATGAAAAGTTATCAGTTTAATTCTTTTGTGAAGCCGTGTTTGTGATTGACAACAACTACACAATGGCATCCTCTATTCTCATAAACATTTCATAAAACCATTTCCATTTTCTTTTATGTGAAGATGTTGAGTCTGGAAGAATGTGTTTTGTATGCTAAGTGTGGTGTAAAAATCCTCAAATTATCAAGAGAAAAGGCTTTGCAGCCACTATTGTAGGCCTAGTTATAACAATATGGTAGCCAGTGTAAAGTTAATAAATAAACACATATAAATGAAGCAACATTCAGCACTTTTTTTGCTGAACCAGAGAAACTGATGCATGCTTACATGTACAGACCACAGGTTTGTCTACATATTGTTCAGTTTTTAACCATTTTGAACAATAAAAATATTTCAGGTTTTAAATATGGATCTTGCTACATATTACATAATAGCACATTTATATACCTTTGATATCTATTTATACACAGTCAGTAAACAAAAATAGGCTAGTCTTTTGCATCTGCAATGGGTACTTACTTACACACACACACTAACAAGTAAATGTAATTGGTTCAAATTTCAAGCTTGATATGTTTTATTAGTGACACAGAACACAGCTTTTATAAAATAAACATTAAAAAGTGGAACTGTATACATATTAGGACTTACAAGCTAGTTAGGTTAGATAGCTTTAGTATCACCATTAGTTCTCAGTATCGGCTGATACTCAAAGATCAGGTATCAGTATCGTAAGGAAAAAAACAATAACGAAGCATCCCTATAGCTGCTGGTACTGAGAATGCTCAACAAAATTCAATGAATGTTCCTCTAGTAAAGGTATAGCAATTTCAACACAGTATCAAAACAGAATAATACAATTTTAAACTGTATCATTGATAAGCTTCTCTTATGAGGGTCTCATCCTTTGTGGAAATCGTGGTCAGTGACTAAAACTAGGCATCTGGGTGCATTCTATGAGAGCACAATGGGAGGAGTGGGGCGGGGCTTATACTATGCACATACACTCAAATGACTTTTTTAAAATACATTCGCTTAAACTCTGGAGGTTATGATTTTTGAGGCTTATGCTGCTTTTAGGTGCAAGTTGGTTGGTTGATCTGTGTGTGGAAGACAGATAATAATCACTGGATTCAACTGATGTGCTGTTTGTCACTCCATTGCATTCCACTAACAGCCGTAAGACATGACCAGTCTACAATTCTGATTTGCCTGAATGTATTTCTGTTCTCATTGCGTGGGTTTGGTGAATAGCAAATACAGAGCACTGCTTTTTCTTTTAATTTCTTTTTAATTGTTTATTAATAAACTTTGTATGACTGCTTCTCTCTAGCGTTCCATTAATTCATGTGCCCTGAGCTTAGCTTCAGCGGGTTATGAGCTCATATAAACAAAATGTGCGTAAAGCTGATACAGCATTGTACTTCTGCCTCTTATCTCTGTTATTGTTGAGGGTCTGTTTTTCTCTATGCAAATACCCACTGTGATGTTTTCTCCGGGGTAAAAGGGGTTGATGTGATCTTTTTTAGTGTAATAAAATGAATAATTGAAAGAATAATTTGTAATAGTTGACAGGTAGAAGTATAAAAATTTACTGATGCATCTTGATGTATCAGTCTGAAGATTGTGATTCAACATTTTGGAAAGTTAGACTCAATTATAATAATATGCAGTAGTCTGTTGAAAAATGAAACGTTTTTGGCTTTAATGAAATATTGCACTTCTTGAAATGAAATGTGCGGAGAATGTAAAGCTTTTTTTGTATTGTTTTTACAACACAAACTTATGTATGTGTAAAGTTCCTCCATTTGTGTGTTTTATGTATTTTTAAAAATATTTCTCAATTTTGAAGTGAAAAGTGAGATTTTCTTAGTGAACCAAATCGTTTCCTGAAGAATTGAATCTAGATGGGAAATTCATCACTCTGGTCACTGGACATAAAGAGTTGCCTGTTGACCCCATTTGCGCATGAATTTCTTCTCAGGCTTTCAGTTGCCCTAAGCAGCTTGAGCTAGTTAAAATAAAGCCCCATTTTTATTAATCTTTACTTCACCTTGTCAAAATTTACTGTTTTGTTGTGTTACATTAAAGCATGTGGTCCATGACCACAATGACTAAAACAAGAGGCTAATTATTCGAAAATAGCCATCTGCTTGTGAACATCAGTGTAAGAAAATGAATACATGCATGCAATATTGTGCTTTTCGATGCGGCAATCTTCTAAATAGAACAGAGAAAAGGAAGAGCAACACTGACAATTGGATTGTGTTTATGAGCTGAATGCATATTTTGTGCCATGTAGAAATTAGATTTCAATTGGACTAACTGGAGACGCATTTCATAATCAAGTGCAGTTGCATGTGGGTGAAATCTTAACAGGTTATATTCCAGATTCAAGCCACATGAAACAAGCAGGTGTAAACGGGGTCTAAAAGAACTGGAGGCTCTATCAAATCAAATAATCCAGGCCTACTGTGGTGTGTGTGTGTGTGTGTGTGTGTGTGTGTGTGTGTGTGTGTGTGTGTGTGTGTGTTTCAGTACACTCGGGTTTGGATCCCCGACCCAGAGGAGGTGTGGAAGCCTGCTGAGATTATCAGAGACTACAAAGAGGGAGAATCAGTCCTGCACCTCAAACTAGAAGATGAATCGGTAAGCAATCCTTCCCCTCTTAATCAGCTTCTAAAGGTTACAGCTATTGAGTTTAATCACTGGTTAATATAATTTTATCAGACAAGAACTGAATTGGTTTTGAAGCAGTGTGAAAATTGGATAGATAAAGGATGCTGGGCACACTGTGCCACACTGAGTTCTCTAAAGCAAAGGAGTATTTGAGCGACCTGTGCTGTGGCCTGCATTCCTCATTCAGGACAGCAGGGTACTTCTTAGTCTTTTGAATTATTAATCATGTTTTGGTGGGTGGAAAGTACAGGTCCTGTGATAAGGATGTGTACTCTGTGTATGAGAGCATTCTCAAATAACAGTAGAGAGGAATTATGAATAATCTTAGAGATAATCAAAACAATACCATAATCTTCCTTAATTTCTTTATACACATGTAAACACATATCTTCATGTCATGTGAAGTGATAATGTATAACCCTTCAAAACTCTGAAGAGTCAAAGTTGTGAATGTGTATGTTAGAGATAGGACTTCAAATTAGTTTCAGACTCAGAGTTACTGTTGATCTATATGTGCTTCCTCCACAAATGCATTCTTTCATAGCAACTGCTGCTAGGTTGGACAAACTTGACCGCACGTTGGCAAAAATCCCGTTCAAAATAATGAGAAATTATAGCAATCTTAGTTTAGAATTGATATTTAATGTTAAGTTTACAGTTTAAAAAGCTATACTATTTTTGTTGTATTTCATCCAAATTAGGCAGGTTAGGAAGGACAATGATGGCTTTGCAGTCATGCTGATGCCACCATACATCCGATCTATCCTAACACCTTTCACAGATGTTTCATTCCCAAACACTTATTTGTGCTCTTTTTGTTTTTAGTTCAGTTGAATAGAATTTTTGCCATTGTCCAGCCTCCCCACAACTGCTACAAAAGAATGCATTTGTGAGCAGTGCAGAGATTGGTCAGTTTTCTTAAATGGCTGTCACATTGTTGTTTCAGACATTAGAATATCCAATTGGCCCCAAAGTCAACCCTCTTCCATTCCTTCGGAACCCTGATATTCTGGTGGGAGAAAATGACCTCACAGCACTCAGCTATCTGCACGAACCTGCAGTGTTGCACAACCTCAGGGTCCGCTTCCTGGAGTCCAATCACATTTACACGTACTGTGGTAAGTCTGATCTATCTAAAACGTTGGACCTTTAAATTTTTGTGTGATTGTAAACACTCTACATTAGGCCTGTAACGATACATTTTCAGGCTCAATGATAGTCTGAGCTCATGAGTCAGTTCAGTTTTTAATATTTTATGTGTTAAAATGTCTTAATTCTACAGATCTCTAATTATGTACTGCACAAATTGATTTAGCTCATAAAAATGTAAATTTCATTTCAAAACAAAAGATTACAAACTTTCTATGCAACAGTATTCATGTGCAAAATAATGATCTCATTAATCAGTGCAGCTGAGCTACAAACAATACAAAAATCTGAATGGCCTACGTATAAGTCATATATAGCATCTCTCCTTTTTCAACCACCCAAAGCTAAAATATATCAACATCACAAAAGTTCAGAAGATAAAAATGTGCAGAATCTACGATAAGTCTAAAACTAAGTTACTCTTTAAGCCCTTAAATGGTCAGGAGCCTCCAGTGGGACCAGGATTCTAATATACACTCATATGACTTAAGAATAACTCAGTAATTTTGCTTTGCTTTCCATGTAGTTACTAAATAATACGCCTGGGGTTAAATTTTTCATGTTTTGTTATGTCTGTGAAAGAAAAATAATGGGAGACCCTCAGAAGAGCCATGGGCAGCATTGGTGATACAGTTTCAATGAAAATTCTTTTGACTGATAACTGTCATTAGTTGGTGATTAATTACAAACCGGCAAGCGTAAAATCTAGGAAGCAAGTCATCAACATATCACTTCTAAATCGGATAGTTCTGGTTCTGACATCTGATTGTCTGAGTTACATTTAAAGCTTTTGTAAAATATTTTGTGTACGCACAATCATGAGCGCACACATCTGAATTCTGTATTAATACGACAAATTAAAGTGTTAAAAATGGCCTGAAATCACATTAAACAAAGCCTATGTAAGGTTTTATTTAGAGGGAGACTGAAAACTGTAATATATTCATGATTATATGACCAAATACTAAAACTGATAATATAAAGTTCTAAAGTTCAATGTATCTCTCATTATTAGCCCAAAATTAATATAAATGCCATTTCTGGGTCTTGCTTTGGCTCAGTGTATCCCAGTAGCTCTTAAAAGCCATTGCCATGTACCACATCCTTCTCACCCATGTGTGATTTCCTCTCACCACCGTGCACCACACTTTCTGTCAGAGAACATGGACAATATAGTTGTCTGTCTTATCGTTTGTGGATGTTTGCTTTTGATATAATATATCATTGTAGTTGTGTTATCATACCTCTTGAAAGGTATTCCTGAACACCACGCACTTCATTTTTAGTAGGGCTATCTAACAGAACCAACTGCCTATTCAGATAGGAAGTGTTGTTAGTTGTAAATGTAATAATTTGATTGCAGCTGATTGCGTTGATCGAACAGCCGTTTGACAGTCAATGGTTAATCCCTAATACACAGTTTTTAATACTATGTTTTTAATACTGTATTGTACTTACTGCACTTTTATGCACATGTTAATATGCAGCACTGACCGCTTGCTTTGCTGACCCTTTACTTTTCTTTATTGTTGTGGCCAGACAGGCTACTTCATATTGACCTAAGAGTCTTCACTCACTTTTTTCTTCTGAATCATTTCCTCAGCAGTGAATTGCTGTGATTGAGAATGCGCAGCCAGCAGGGTTTAGTGGAGGTTAACAAAGAGGGTGTCTTCTGCTCATTATCGCGTGCAATCGGTATTTTTATTAGTTTGTCCATCCCCATGGCAACATGGCAGTGCTGGTTAAAGGACATCTTTTCATTGTTAGGATGACTCAGTTTCATTGTTAAAATGTTCACTTTGTGAGTTTCTTGCAGTTTCTACCAATTGCAACCTACATGTTTCAATAATTCCAAAGTCTGGGTGTGTCTGGTTACTTTCCTAGACATGCAGACTTAGACATTTGATACGTGGCTCTAGTGCTGTTAAAATCAGTAGAGATAGAGGAGTGACCGCACTATCTCTCTTCAACGTAGCGTGAAGCTCTGTAAAGCAGTGTGATATCAGAATGATGAGAAGAATGCCTAAATACGCCAGCAGAATAATCATACGTTACATTTTTTAATGTGTTTCATGTATTTTCGTTTCTGACAGTTTTGTGTTTTATAATGACAAAAAACTTTTTTAGGTAATTGTTCCTGTCAGAGCATAGTGCTTCCTTTTGTTTCAGTAGTTCCTTTTTCCTCTTCTGTCCAGAATAGTGACACATTCTCATGCCTATGATGTCATTCTTTTCCTATGTCATGGCAAAATGACTAGTTTAAGGCACTTTATACCCAGCCAAGAGACAAAAAAAGCCCCAAATGAGACCTCACAGCTGTCTTAAGAACCCTAATATTGGTCTGATGAGTGATTTTATTGTCAGTTACAGCATTTCTCTCTATATTTTTTTATATTCTTCATTTGAAAATGAGTTAAATTATGGCTTACTTGAGAAAGAAATTGCTTCACTAAGTAGTGCTTTATACATAGATTTGGCCTCAGTATCATGCAGCATATCAGCACAAGCATAATTCATTAGTGGAAACCAGCAGAAGGCTTTCAGCAAGCTTCACAGCTCTTTGACTGGATACATGCTGTGTTGTCTAATTCTGATTTATGATTAGCTCTTATGCTCTCATTTCACTAGTAATCTTTCTCAGTGGCTTCATATGTCCCAGAAGCAACTTTTATATTTGTTTGATTGCTTACAATGCTCTGCACACTGTGCTATTAGCAATGTTTTCATTTGTACATTTAATCCATCTCACAACTATTTGAACAACCTAATGTTACTTGACCCCACAGTTTTCAAATACTTGCTACAACTTCTTCATGCTCCCTCTGCTCCACAGGTATTGTGCTGGTGGCGATTAATCCGTATGAGCAGCTGCAGATTTATGGAGAAGAGGTCATCAATGCCTACAGTGGGCAAAATATGGGGGACATGGATCCTCATATATTTGCAGTGGCAGAAGAGGCCTATAAACAGATGGCCAGGTATGTACAGTGCAGTCAACTAAACTGACATGTAATATATGTTGTGCTCATCTTTTCTCTTTGAAGTTGGCTGCACTGCTCACACTGCTCAGATCTTGAACATTCTCTTAATAACACACTTAAAGTGCTTTAATCCTCAGTTACAGGCAGCATTCCACCGCACTGCAAATGAATAGCCTGCACTGCGTAAGGAAGTTTGGGAGCTGTTATTTATGCTGCATGTAATCAGCAGATTACCTCATTTGATTCAGTAGTTGGACCTTGAGTGTGAGAGCCTTGAATAATCTCTAAGTTCAGCCTGCTGGCTCAGTAATGGATGGAGTGGGTGGATAATTACAGTGCACGCGTCCTCATTCCCCTGAAGCCTTCGCATTTTTTTTCTATGGAAAACAAAAGACAAATCCATGTTCACATCAGGTTTAAGTTCAGTCTAAACAGCCCCCGCAGTGGTCCGGTGACTCCTCGGTGACGTGTCAGAGTCACGACAACAAAATGAACTGAGGGGGAGAGTAAAAACTGCCAAAAGAAGCTTCTGTAGCTCTAGTATTCCAAGTAGTGCTGTCATCTGCTCATCTTAAGATTTCTGTTATCACTTAGGGTGACCTTTGTATCTGCCAGTTGAGCTGAGTTTACAGGTCAGTTATTTAGGAGCCTGTCAAAGCCCTCTGCTGTATTTAGTGTTTCTTAGACAGCAGTCCCGAAAGTGTGTGTGTGTATGTGTGTGTGCGTTTGCCTGTCTGTGTTCTTGTACATTTCTTGGAAAAAAATGTCCTGACTAAAGAGAAAAAAAAACAGAACAAGGATAATATACAGTAAAATTGTTCTAAATTCTACATTTTTCACTTTTTAAAACTGAAAGGGTAAGACCATTTTCTCAAGTCTCACTGGGCCAGACATAATTTGTAACAACAATGAGAAATTTTGGGCTAAATGTGCATAGAAATGTAGGTTTATTAGTGTGGGAACAAGCTTCATCAAATTTCTAAACCAGTCCAACACTTCCTGGAGGCAGAGCTCAATCTATGGGGCTCAGCAGCACTGTCCAATAATTAGCCCATGGATGTTGTTGGCATGGCTGAAAGGTCCGCCAAAAAAACTCAAATTAAGCATGCATAGAACACGTTACATGTGGTTAAAATTAATTAATTAATAAAAAACTGTGAGCTTCTGCTGTTTAATTGAGTTTAAGAAATGTGACAATTAGTAAATGACTACTGGTAATACCACTGCTACTATTACTACTACTACTACTAATAATAATGATAATGATAATAATGAGTTTTATTTATATAGCACATTCCCAAGCTCAAGGTCGCTTTACAATTGAATCTGTCTGTAAAGCGCTGTTTAATGAAAACTATACTGGAGTGTGGTTATAGAGTAAAATTATACATTGCATGGCAGATTCTTCATATTGCATTTACTTGGTAAATCAGTGTTAAATGTGTTATTTATATGCGTCATGAAACATATCTTTTCTTCATGAAAAGGCGTGTACTTTGCACTGTTCCTTCTACAGAGATGAGAAGAATCAGTCGATCATTGTGAGTGGAGAGTCAGGAGCTGGGAAAACTGTGTCTGCAAAATACGCCATGCGCTACTTCGCCACTGTGGGAGGATCAGCCAATGACACAAATGTAGAGGAGAAAGTGCTGGCTTCCAGTCCCATTATGGAGGTGCAGTATATTATGAATGGCTTTTGTACAGTGGTACATTTGACATTGTTATTGAACTGACTTGGCAACTTTGTGGCTTAACAACAGTGAATCCTAATCCAAATCATGCATTGATTAGGTGTGGGTAATATATTAGTCATGTTTGAAGGCTACCTACATAAGGACTTCCTAGCACGTATATAAGTATTGAACAACTATTTTAAAGCTATACTAGAGTATTTATAAAAAGTTTATCTCAGTATTTACATAAAGGCTCTTTATGTAAGCAAATGTCCATCACTTTAGTATAGCACTGTTGGGAAGCATCATTCCCAAGTAATGGAGCCTGCAAGGCAGAAGCCTTTACTCAGTAAAGCAACGTTATTGTCAGTACTTCTAGAATAGTAGACATAGAATAGTATCATAGAATAAAGCAGCTGATTGAACACTGACCCATTACTGTATTTAATGTACTTAAACAATACATTTCTGCAGATGTTTAATTTAAAAAAAATTGGATAATTGTACTTGTTTTCTCATAGCATTATTTAAAAATATACACACTTAAAAAGATGGTTCTTCAAGGGCTCTTTAGTACAGAAAATGGTTCTATATAGAATCTTGAACACTCAAAGAACCCTTTGCATGATTAAAGGGTTTTTTTGCATCGTTAAACGGTTCTAATGGAGAATGTGCTGTAGATAGTTCTATATAGTGTAGCACTATAGAAGTGTGTAGCTCTTCTACAGCATATTCACAAACCTGTAGAAAAACTACATTGTGCTACATGTCGTGTATTGTGAAAATGCCTTAAAGCATCATGATGTTAAAAAACTGGACATATTGTCCAATTTTAGCATTGATTAGGTCCTATTTTGTTTGTCATCATAATGATTATCTCATAACAACAGCTATTGTTCATCTGCATTATTAAGAGGCCACTACACTTAGCTATCAAACATGTACAGAGCGGTACTAGCAAAGAAGATGTGTTTCTAGTGCCATTCCCCTCACTGCCTTGCCACAGTGCAGACACACTTCAGCTGCAAGATTAAACCCTGGTGTCACTGCCTGTTTGAGCTGATAAGAGCAGGGCAGTCTCAATCTGCCCTTCATGTAGCAAAGCTAACTTCTAAGAAGTGCAGCTAAATCTCTCACTCAATTAGTGATATCATTTCAGTCCAAATGAGCCCTGATGATAGAATAGAGCTCTCACTATGCAAAGAAAGACAAAAACACACATTTTCGCCGGTGACCTATAATACCACAGTTCAGTACAGAACACTAGAATTAGTAGTGATCAGTTTAACTGCTTTTAGTGTCATTATGGGCAACAGAAATTCTCAAACAGTTCTCCTTAGAAATATCTCCTGAAAAATGGAAGGCTTGTACTTAATGACCATTTTGCCTGGAGATGAAATAATTGAACTGTGTTTGCTAACTTTTTTACGAGACTGCATATAAAAATAAAATAAAATACTTTGACTTGTGTCAAAAGCAACAAGACAAACTTTATGGCCAAGCGACCTCAAATGCGTAATATTGTAGTTACAAATTTCCCTATTTACCACACTTTTCTCCACCTTTCTCAAAAGCACGTCAGGCATCAACTATGTTAATCCCCTGGTATGGACAGATTGTACCTGCTGTCATCATCACAGGCTATTCTCTCACATACATGTCCTTGCAGGCTATCGGGAATGCAAAGACGACACGGAATGACAACAGCAGCCGCTTTGGGAAATATATCCAGATTGGCTTTGACAGAAGATATCACATCATTGGTGCCAACATGCGAACATATTTGCTGGAGAAGTCCAGAGTAGTTTTTCAGGTGAGTCTGGTGTGGGAGGAAAGCTTTTAGCCTTAATTGCAACTTTAACAAGAGCCTGTCGATTCATCAACGTCTCTGGTAAATAAGGTGTTTCACAGAGTGGTTACTGTATATTTCTATATATATTCCTGCAGGCTGAGGACGAGAGGAACTACCACATCTTCTACCAGCTCTGTGCCTCAGCCTGCCTACCAGAGTTTAAAGATCTAGCCCTGAGTGAGTAGTCCACTAACCTTCCACTTGGATAAGAGCTAGAATTCATTCTGCATTGTACTTTCTACTTGTTGCTTTACTGTTACTGCATAGTGTATTTGCACAAAATAAACAAAAAAGCATGCCTCAATTACATTTCCACATATTATGACTGCATTATCCTTTGTAGTATACTGAAACACACTGATAAGCCCTTGATGTGACATGATTCAGATTTGCCTGCGTTATTTTGACCAAAATAGCATGTCCTTCTTTGGCTCACATGAAAGCCTTGGTTTGTCGCACCACCTAGAGAAATGCATTAGATGCATCTGAGACTGGTTTACAATGATCATAGCACATAGTAAGTAAGGAAGGTCATTTATTAGAGGGCTATTTCGCGTAGTGTGTTCTTCTGCAGTGCCAGCATTGCAAAGGCCAGTGTTTTCATTTTGTCAGACAAATGTATAGTGCAACCCTATATTAAGATAAGTGTTGAGAGTGTTCTAAACATTACCACATCTTCTTTGTTTAAAGCCAGTGCAGAAGACTTCACTTACACCTCTCTTGGTGAGAACATATTCATTGAGGGAGTAAATGATGCTGAGGACTTGGAGAAGACAAAGGAAGCACTTTCACTGTTGGGTGAGGGTCACATTTTTCACTACTATGGCTTGATCTTTTCATATAATCAAGGCTTTTTAAGTGGCAGGCACTTTGTTTATACACATCTTAACAAGTTGTATCATACAGGTGTTAAAGAGAGCCATCAGATGAGTATCTTCAAGATAATTGCCTCCATCTTGCATCTTGGAAATGTGGACATTGTATCTGAGAGAGATGGAGAGTCTTGCCATATTTCCGTAAGTGCTCAATTACAGTTTGACTTTATCCTATTTCTGATGTGTTGCAGGTAAAGCAGCCTTTCTCACTTCAATTATGTGTCCATGGCTTTTGTTAAATTTAATTTCTTTTTTAAAGTACAGTACTGCCCAGGATTCAGAGACCACCCTTCATTTGTTTAATTTCCGGTCAAAACAGCCATTAACTAAGCGTTATTTAGTATTCAGGAGACATTTCTAAGGAGATTACATATAAGATAATTAACTTGCATAAGGAAACGGAAAGTCAAAACCAGAATTTAATAAATGATTAAAAGACGTAGAGAAAACACGACCCCTAAAAACTGAGCAAAATCTGGTTGACCCCCAAAACAGTCACCATCAGATAAACAGTACTTAAAGCTTTCATCTTTGAGCAAGAAAATGGGAGAAAATCAAGATCCACTCTTGCTTAAGATCTTAAAACATCCACAAGTTTTAAGTCTAGATCTCAACATTACTGAATGTGTTTGGGATTACTTAGATCATGAGAAGCAGAAAATGCAACCAATTTCTAAGACTAAACTTTGGAAGTGTGGAGAAATGTCCCTGAAGATATCTTTGAAAAACTGAAAGTGAGTCTCCTGAAAAACATGGAAGCTGTAATAAGGGCAAATGTGGGCACACTAAATACTAAAAAAAGGAATTATATTTAATTGTTCCAGCTTTTGTGTAATTTTTTATTAAATATATTTATTTTGCTTTTTTCCCCTCCAATGCTGTAAAAATTTACTTCTACATAATGGCCATTCTGACTGGACTTTTGCACAGTACAGTCCAGGCTTTAGTTCCTTACTTCTGTAATTTAAGAATAAGCCAGTTTACATTGTTTCCCATGTAATTACTGAATAATAATCATTAGGATGTAATAAGTCTGGAGAATTAAGAAGTTAAATAACCTTAGAGGTAGGGGTGGGAAATATGGCAATAAATATAATATTGTCATATCACAACATTTTTAGACACAGACACACTGCACTATTGGTGCCAAACTACCATCAAAACTCTGAATACAATGATGTTGATTCTTAACATTTCACATTCTGTACCGCACTAACAATTAAACAGGAATAAACATGCTCCCTTTTTAATGAAACATGCAGTTGCTCAGTGTTCTTTAAGCACTGGCGACATCTACAATATGCCCAGAGAAGCATATTGTGTATCATGATAACAAAATTAGTCACAATAATGATAAAATATCATTGCCTACCTCTACTTAGAAGTACTGTTTACTATGTGGTTCAAGTTTTCTTTTCCTCACTTTCAAAACTAAGTTTCATAGGAATAATAAGTCTTAGGATTAATAACCCTGTGATTTGAGAGTTTAAATCAGTCACTCAAATGGTTTCACCTCTGATATATTGTTTTTTTCTGGCATGCAGAGAAATGACCCTCACCTGCAGCATTTTTGCCAGTTGCTGGGTGTAGAGCTGGAGCAAATGGAACACTGGCTCTGCCATAGGAAGTTGGTGACCACAGCTGAGACCTATGTGAAGAACATGTCTCGTGCCCAGGCAGCTAATGCTCGTGATGCTCTGGCCAAACACATTTATGCCCGTCTCTTTGACTGGATAGTAGAGCATATCAACAAGGCTTTGTACACCTCCTCCAAGCAGCACTCCTTCATCGGCGTGCTGGACATTTATGGGTAATTGTACTGGGATGCATTACGCTTGGCAAGACCTGTATCAGATTTATCAGAATGTTTTGTGTATTTTGTTTTTGTTATTTGTGTTTGATGCAGTGATTGATGAGGTATAATATATGGAACTTTAGTCTTTTGGTCTTTAGGTCTTTTCCTAAAGTAACATGTCCAGAAAAGGAATAATTAGAGCGGAAAAGTTTGTATGTGCTAAGATTTAGCTCTTTTTAGGAAAAATAACCTTCACAAACAAGCCAGTTTTATGTCTTAACAGATTTGAAACGTTTGAGATTAACAGCTTCGAGCAGTTCTGTATCAACTATGCCAACGAGAAACTTCAGCAGCAGTTTAACTCTGTGAGTAATGGTGAAGAAAGCTACCCGCTGGCCCATTTTTCCTGTTTTTTCCCCTATGTCCATATTCCCTATGTGAAATATGCATGACTGTATTCAGTTACAGAGATCATGCATGCCTGCAACAGCATAATAAATAAAAAATTGAATGATTAATTAATCTATTTTCCATGTAAATCTTGCAGCATGTGTTTAAACTGGAGCAAGAGGAGTACATGAAGGAGCAGATCCCATGGACACTCATTGACTTTTATGACAACCAGCCCTGCATTGACCTCATAGAGGCCAAGCTTGGTATCCTGGACCTGCTAGATGAGGAGTGCAAGGTTAGTTCTGTTCTGAGCGATGGAATTTAGTTCTTAAGAAAGTGAATGATGAACCTGAAGCACTTTTATTAAACTAGACTCATGTCTGCCTGGGCTGCATATTTGCATTTAATGGCTCATCCACATTTAAAGACTTTTGAAAATGAATAGATTATTTATTCATTTTTCCCATCCGGTCTAGCATGAAAAATCTTTGAAGTTATTGAGCATAATTTGGAGCAGCATCAAATGAGTCCCGCAATAGGTAACCCAAATAGAAGCTGTTGTTGGTATTCTTGCCTTTTCTCACTCTTTTTCTTCTCACAGGTTCCTAAAGGAACAGATCAGAACTGGGCTCAGAAGCTTTACAGCCAACACCTGAGCAGCCAGCACTTTGAGAAGCCAAGGATGTCCAACAGCTCCTTCATTGTTGTCCACTTTGCGGATAAGGTGGGTCGACTCCAGTTAAGCCTAGTTTGAAATTGCATCATTCTGTGGATGCATTTGGTCTGAATTGCAACACACGTTGTGCTGGGTCCTCCCAAACATTATCTGCACTGTCTGTTTGGAGGCTGCAAATTGGTCTCTGAAGTGCTGCAGAATAAGAGGAGGATCAATGCTTTATCTCCATTACACTCATTTAGAAAAGCGCTGCTGGAGCACTGTAACATCCAGAAGCTTATGTGTATGGATAATGTATTCAGGCGCTGTTCTCTCAAGAGAGTTCCAGAATACTTTAAAGATTTTTAATGTCTTTCAGAGGTATAGTTAGTGATTCAAGCTGTTGAGCAGCTGAAACTTTACACTTTTGACAGAGCCAGAAGCTGGAGGATTCAAAAAAAAATGAGAAAGCTTTAACATTGAGTTATAATGAAATTACTATCCAGAATTCATCATATTTCAAAAACATTTCAAAATAGCTTTTGGTGAATAGTTGGTAAAATTCACAGTCATTTAAATTCACATTCACACATTAATATGGCAGTTAATTCCAAACTTTTTAACGCTAAGAGTACATCAGCAGAAATTAATGCTTGAACAGTGACCTTTATGCTTGTTACAAAGAGGATGCAGGCTATCATTGAAAAACCATGTGCAGTAATTAATTCATCTGACATACAGTAAGATTAATTATGAGCTAATCTTCTGCAGGGGTGTGTATTTTGACACTTGGTCTGTAATTTGCATCACCTCTTAAAATTTCATTACAAAACACACTTCATGACATAGATGTATAAAATGACATGTGTTTGTGTAAATATTGTCCCATCTTTTCCTGTCTCAGTGAGGTGTGTTACCTGCACATTGCCTCCAGTGGTTTCTCATAATAGTTTTGTTGTCATTAAGAGCCCAGGAATAGCTTAGTTCTGCTTTTGGCTCTGAGAAACAACATTGAAATCTGAGCTTTGTCAGAGGACACAGGGTCCTGTAACACTGTACTTAAGAGCTTTTAACAGACAAAAGTGAATACAACTGAGACAGCTTAATCTTTTTTCTCCACACCAGATCTCCTCTTAATTTTCAAGGTGCCCTGTTACAGATTTTGAAAAGTTCTCAAGTGTGTTTTTCTGGCTTTTCAGTGTACATGTTCAACCTAATGACAGAATGTTTCCTCTATCAGGTTGAGTATCAGTGCGTTGGCTTCTTGGAGAAGAATAGAGACACTGTGTATGAGGAGCAGATCAACATCCTTAAGGCCAGCCAGGTGAGACAAGAAAAGAGACCTCTCCTCCATTAGGAGAGAATCTTTGATGTGCATTAACCAACTCAGTCATATTTTGTTGTGAACATTTTCGTAGAACCCTTCAGCATTGCACTTTAACGTTGAAAGCCCAACATGTCAAACAGGGCTAGGGAGTGGTGCTGATATGCTTAGTTTATTTGAAAAACTGATGTTTTAGATGGATGCTCTTATTTTAGGGGTCGCCATTCTTGCAGTTCAAATATTTATGCTCTTTAAAAAAAAAAAATTATATGTTTATTTCTGAATGACTTTAACTGAATTAACTCATAATATTTGAGTCTGTCTTTGTGGTCAGTCATTAACGTTTATATAATTGTGCATGATCACATGGTCTAATGCTGGTGTCAGAAACTGGCAAATACCAAATCTAATAAATTGCACTCGAACAGCCAACAAAGTTGTACTTATAAGTGAGAAGCTCAGGATCCAAGATGATACAAAAGTTTACCAGACATTTCACCTTTTATGCTGGTGAGAAAACTATAAACTTAGCTGCGAATATGAAAGAAAAATATACCTCATGTGCCTCTGTGTGCTTTATGATACATAAAAAGAAAACGCACAAGACATTCTCTGGAACTCCATGCTTTCTTTTTCCATGTGTGGACGTATCCTTAAGTACCCAACTGGGTAAAGTCTATATATTTGCTAGTTAACCATGTGGTATGTACAACTTTCCAATAGACACCCAAAACTTTTTTTTTAACTTTTCATTTTTTGTATACTTTATACATACTTTTTATTAAATCTATGTAATATTATATATCATTATTTTTTGTCACATTTATATTATATTTATTTATTTTAATATATTTCTTACAGTTTGACCAAATTAACTTGAGTTTAGCCAACTGACTTTCTGCTCTTGACAGCACTCATTTAATATTTTCAACTGATTTAAGGTCTTGTACTGGACTTTGCAGTTCCTATTATAATTTTTGTTGAACTAACAAGCTTTGAGGTTTTTGTATACATTTCTTATGGGAATGCAGTTACTGAAGCTGAGAAAAAGTTTAGCATAAATTACAAGCTCTGAAGAGACAAAACTAACATTATAATATTATCTTAAACTAAATATTTCTAAACAAAATGGTGGCTGATCCTGATTGTTGTAGGTAGGAAGGACATGGAGGTAAATATTCTTTTAAAACCCGGAAAATTTGGAGTGCCTAATTTTGGAAATTCCGCCATAGAAATTAGGTCATTTGACTGTTTCACCAGTAATCTGGTTAGAAACAGAACACATGCCGCTCTCCTGTCTCTGCTGAAGCTCGACTGTATTTGTCCCCTGAAACTGAACCCCGTGTAACTGTGTAGAACTCTGTTATCTGTGCAGTTGCAAACTCAGTTAATCACATGTTCTGTGTCTGAGTGGTTAAAAGATTTAAACGGATAAGGATTTCATAATGTTCCCCTTTAAACAAACACATCCTGATCTACACCCAGCAGACACAGTATGGGCCAATCAAGATATAAGAATAACAGCCATATGCATCACATCTCTTAAGCAGAGAGGATTCACTTATTCTAGGTCAACACTCACCTCACTGTCTTTGTGTTCTGTCCTGAGGCTGCCTGGCAGCAGTGTGCAGAGCAAGGCGAGATAAGTTGTACATAAACAGAAACTGCTTGAGGTTTGAACTCTTCGCTGCTGGTGAGCTGATAATACAGAGAAACAAAACCTTTAAAACCTGGAGTAGCGTTAATTAGCTCAGGGTGGAACTAATGAATTTTCAGTTTAAATATAGCTTTAACTGAAGTGTCTTTGTAGTTTATGGAAAATGCACCACAAACTATCTAGCTGCGATAGCATTTTTTAATATTTCTGTCTGTTTCTGTTAGGCCTGCTGAAGAATTTTTGCTTCTTAAAATTTTTAAGCAGTTTTCCTTTGAGATGTTTCCTTTGTGCAGTATCAGTGTCTTGGCAGTAAAACAGACATCATACAAGACAAAGGATGCAAATAGAAATGGCACAATAACCTTTTTTCTTTTCTGATACCAATACCGATATTGAAATCTTGAGTCTTGACTGATCTTGACACCAATCCACTGTTACTTCTTTATAACTACCAAACTTTAAAATGAGCTGTTTTTTAATTGGTGCATTTCACTTAAACCACAATACCATTTTTTCTGTTCTGATTCTGATACTGAAAGTGAACCTTTTGAGTATCGACTGTTACTGATAAAAATTTAATTTCTTCTTTAAAAACCTTTAAGCTTTAAAATTAGCTATTTTTATATGAAGCACTCCGCTAAAGATGATCATCTTAAGTGAAGAAATACACAGTAAAAAACATCATATTGCACAGAATGAGTGAGTGCTATTTCAGGATATGTTTGTTACAGGTTTCGAACAGATTCCCTCTTTTTTCCCTCCGATATCTGATCCGTCATTTTCTGATAATAATAAATAAAGTAAGAAATACATAAATTCGGCTGTGAATGTGTCATTTAATATGTTTTAATGTCAGCAATTCCTTCCGCCAAATTATAGGTCCTTAAGAAGCAGCTCGTTGCTACGTCAGTAGTTCATTCTCTAGCTCCTTACACTAAATTCTGAAACTGTCATTACCACTGAGCAAGCTTTTTTGTTTTTTATTGCGGCGGTTTTATGGCTCAATCCAATTTGGTCAGACTCTGAAGATGAGACTACATGTTTGGCGAATGGTATTCGGTTCATGTCTGGCTAATTCCAGGTTGTTCAGCTCTTCTTCTGTCACAGCTGCGACTGGAAAGCTTGCTCAGTGGTACTGACAGTTTGGGAATTTAGCGTAGTCTCATTTTCAGAGTCTGATCAAAATCGGCTGCAGGTCAAATGTAATAGTAAAAGTGTCCATTTTCTGTTTGTGGCAAAGTAAGAACTAAAAACGTTCAAAAGGCTTGAGCGTCTCCTACAGCTGTAAAATTCATTGCTTAGCAATGGCACTTTAGCGGAGTGATACAGTGTTTGTGAAAAAAAGGTGATGTTATGGCGAAATAACAGCACGATTAGAACGCTTCTCAACCAATCAGCTTGCATGGCCGGAACTGACTGTTGTATAATTTAGAATTAAGTATGATCGGTAAACTATGTCACCTTGTACCCTAAGGTGCTCCAAGGTTGCACTCCAGCGTTCTTCATTATATCTTTTAAAGAGCACTTCTTGTATCAGAACACAATTGAGCAAAGTTTGTGTCAGCTTTTAAGATAGTTGCACACTCTACTTTCTGTATTGGAAAAGCAAATGGAAAGCAGAGAATTTTATCACCTCATGTAGAAGCTGAAACTTTTCAAGCATTTTCACACTTAGCTCTGGTATAACTCTCTCTGTAGCCCTCTCTGTGCTGCTTTTGGAGATGCAACACCAAACAAAGCAGAAGACAAACCTCTGATGTTTGTCCAGAGGTTCTAGGTTGCTAAGATCCCTTAGCTTGGTTGTAGCCATCCAGATGCAAGAGACATTAGTTATTGCTTGAGTGACTTTGCATCACCTGTGAAAATTTGGAAAAATCTAACAGAATATAATGTTGCATTTTCACCATCTGAAAAATCATTTTGATGTGCAAGATATCAGTTATACACATGTTCTAATTAAGTTATTGATGCCTAAATTCCACAAATAAATCTGTGTGTAAAGGCATTTGTTCTGAACCGTAAACTTTTTTTTTGCTGCACTACCTGCACCCATACAGCAGTTAGAGTCATGGTTCTTTATTATGCACTGTGTGTCAGCACTTCTGTATATCTGTCCCGTCCCATCGGACTTATCAGTGACGGAAACATAATAGGGCTATCAGTATTCTCTCTGAAACAGCACAAACTTGGCTTCCTCTCTCTCTGGGGTGTAGTGCATGGTACAGTGAAATGTAGTGTGATTAGTTCTTTAACACATTCAGAAGAACATATAGAAGAAGCCTCCCATGTGTATTACATGTGGCAATAAATAATGAAATATAGGGCTATCGCTGTTAATTACAATCAAGTAATCTACTAATTATTTTGATGATTAATTAAGTAATCAGAGTTTTCAAAAAGACCAAACATTAGAATTGGACTTGTACAATAACAAACCATGCATTGCCTTTAAAAGATTCCAAAATATTTTTTTTGGAAAAGGATGAACTAGAAAGCTTTTGAAAAGACAATTTGACAAAAATGCATGTGTCACTTGGCTGAATACATTTATTTCTGCATTATCATTAAAACTGCCAACTAATCTCTGACAGTTTATTGAGGAGGTACATTTTAATACATGGAGCCATTTTGGAATGTTTCAGTATATATTAGAGGTAAAAGTGATCAGTTCTAATACCTACTCAACTCTACAACTTTGTTCTGATGCTTTCTGTGGTGTTCGGCCCTCAGTTCCAACTGGTGGCAGATCTCTTCCAGGATGGAAAAGATGGTCCAGCTCCACCCCCATCTGGAAAGAGTTCAAGAATCAACGTCCGTCCTGCTAAGCCCATCATCAAAGGCCACAACCGTGAGCACCGCAAAACTGTGGGCCACCAGGTAAACTCTCAAGAAGTACATGATGAACAGAAAATCTTGTAGATCATCAGACCTGAACTCTCAAAAAAGATGTATGTATTATTACCAGCACTCAGTAAAGGTGGACAAAAATCTACAAAAATTTGGGAATCATATTTGTAGATCTTAACAGTTTGTAGTTTAAGTTGATTTTTGCCTATATTTTGTTTTAATATATGTACAGCAATTCTTTGAATGTTTGTTATATCTTTCTTTCCTAGTTTCGGAATTCCTTACATCTTCTGATGGAGACTCTCAATGCTACTACCCCTCATTATGTGCGCTGCATTAAACCCAATGATGACAAAGAGGCCTTTATGTAAGTTTTGTTTATACTTATAATGTCTGTGAAGCTAGTCTGCTAATCTGTAGTTCCAATTCATGAATGGATACACTCAATAAATGGTGTATATATTGCAAAGCTAGATGATATACAGTCTGTACTGCTATACTGGCACTGGTGTCTGTATTGCTAAGCTTAAGCTGTATTGATAGATAAAAAAGTTAAAACACCAAGTTAAACACCTGAAAATTATATATTTTAATAAGTGCAATAATCTGATTGTTTTGAAAGAACTGTTCAAATTACATAAAAACTAAACAGTTAGCATGTTTGCCTGTGTGGAAACGTGCTTTCTATTAAGATAATGCTCCCCTTGGTGTAATTTTAAAAGTAGAAAATGGAACAAAACAATCCAGTCAAATCTACCTTACACTGTTAGACACTATTTGGCATAGGCTTGCAGTACTGAGCATGAATTCAATATTAACGTTAATAATGTTGACTGTGTTCATAAAAGATTGTAATTGAATTTATAGGTACCACCTAGAATTAGTATATGTCTTGTACAGTTGTCATGTTTATACAGGGAGATCTTTGTTGATAGTTTGTGCTGTCTCTCAGCAGGATTATTTTGGATAATAACTGATTATATTGTAGCACTGGGGGGTCAATGTTTCCGGGTTTGACTGTGTTGCGTCAGCCCCAGTGCTGGTCTTCATTTGCATTGCCCCAGGGGTTGTTCAGTTGGCGTCTACCATCAGGTATACTCCCTGGGCGTGTAGGTAGGGGAGACCCTTTGTTCTATGTTGTGCATACCTGCTCTGACATGGAGTCTTGTTGACCTTGTGTTGTAGCTAATAAACAGGACTTTGCCCATGAGCTCTGAAACTGAGCTCTGAGCCTCTGCTGGGTTCCCGCTGCCACTGGATTATACATTATAAAGGAGCTGGTGACTAGACTTAAGATGCCACTGAGAGATTTTCTTTTCTTTGTATTTACTTACATAGGGTACCCTGTCTGTCAAAAGTTTGTAGACAATGTGCTGTATGATTTGTTAAGTATCAAAGCATACCTACAAAAGTTAACATAAAGCAGCTGTTCACTAATAATTTGTATATACAGTTTTTGTTATTGTTAACATTGTTAACAATATAACATAATTGTTATAACGTTGTTATTGTAAAAAAAAAAGAAGAGAAAATTTGTGAGTTTTGGCAACGTTCCTTCAGGTAGCACTTGGCGATGTCTAAACAGATTTCTGTATCATATGTTCAGTTATTGAAAAATAACAAAGACAGCAAACTGTCCCCAAAATTTAATGGGCAGTGCACTATTTAACTATTACATGTAAAGTAATTGGCATTTTATACTTATGGGTGTAAACATGAAATCAGATCATGTGGATGCTCTTTCAGATTTCAGTGTCTGAAAAGCTGATTGTTGTGTCTCTGACTTCCAGGCAACAGTGTTTACCTTAATAAGCATACAGATACCAACAGACAGAGACTGCTCAAATTCTTCTCTGTCCATGCAATCCATGTGTCATCACATCTCCTGTATGCAGTGTAAATACATTCTGATTAATATATCAGAAAACGTTTTCATGGAAAATGGTAAATTTATCGCTCTGGCTTCTGAAAAGGGCTTGGCCTTGTTTTGTTTATGTCCTTTCCACACATTCCTGAAGACAAGGGCCTCTTCATGAAGACTAAATTGAGAGAGGTTTCTTTGTCACATGCTTGGTGGGGTTGTTAGCAAACAGCAGAGATTTGTGTTCAGAGCTCAGAGTCAAGTCCAGTGTCTCTGTGTCCCTGACCGGGCAGCAGCCTCCCAAATGCCTCTCACGCGAGAGATGTGTACGATCCTTAAGAAAAAGATAAGGTAGGATTTTCTGGACTGTCCTGACTTTTTAAGGTCAAGTTTTGTTTTTTTTGTGTTCCTCTTTATGGTCTGTAATGTTTTTTTTGTTGTTTGTTTTTTTTTGTGAGATCAGTCAGATGTTACTGCTGAGGTTATGCAATTATTTTAGTTGATTTTAATAGACTCTTAAATTTTGTTGATTCTTCAAACAGGTTTGATTCTAGAAGAGCTGTCCAACAACTACGAGCATGTGGAGTTCTGGAGACCATCCGCATCAGTGCTGCAGGATATCCATCCAGGTAATGATCACAGGTTCACTGAATCCTCTACAGAATCTTTGACTAGTAGAGCCCAACCAATATGAATTTTTTGTGAACGATACTGATTTTAATGGGCTAAAAATTCTAATATAATTCTAATATAATTGTATATGTATGTTTTACCTTTGAAACAGTGCTTTATTGATAGACATGATGATAACAATCGTTGCACTTCTTAAACTGAAATAAATGACAGAAATTTTGTAGCACTGGCAGTGGACCCATACATAATCTTTGCAGTTTTGATTTCTGTTAATTACATTACTTTTCTTATTTGTTATTAGTTCTCTTCGTAAAAAGGTTGCTTCTTCTCATGATCAAGGTTAAGTTTAAATACTTTTAAATACTTTTTTTTGTTTGCATCACAGTGATGTAATTATACAGGGATGCCTCATATTGGGATCCCCAAAGGCACAACCATCACTGGTTTTGCCTTCTCATCAAGAGATCTCAAGACACAAGATGCCAAGGCCTAAAAAAGTCCCTAATTATGAGTGCATTATGCACAATATTTTAACCAAAATTGATCATTATTGTGCAGTTTCATCATCCAGCGAATATATTAGTCAGGCCCTAATCTGAAGTGTATATAAACCATTTTTAAATATGTTTATTTGCCAGATATGTTAGCATGTATTAGGAGTTTGTTTTGGTGTTTGGTCACAACACCAACACAATTTACATTTCTAAATACACATTGCACCTTCAGTAAACAATATTTACAATACACACAGCTTGGTCTGGTGCATAAGGATAAAAATATCAGCTGTGTGGCAGTTAGATTGTGTAGTTATTGATACACAAAGTGACACTTCATTGGATAGTCCACTGTAGACTGCTGTAGATGCTTAACTCACATTCACTTAAATTATCTTACCCTTTCAACTAATTACATTAGCATTTCTCTAATCCTAAAGGTAACATTCACTCTAACGCTAACCCTCCACCTCAACCCAAAACCTAAATTCTAGCTCTAATCTTAGTCCTAATATTAACCCTAACCTTAACACTGTTGAGAATCAGATACTAAATAGTTTGTTGACACTTTGAATGTCTGTAGATAGACTAGGACTATCAAATTAAAGAGGGACCATATCTAAATATTATTATGCAGTTTTAGCTCTAGTGCCATTGTCAGCTCACTTTAGATCAAGATCAGAGCTAGATGTCTATCTTTTTTTGGAGTTAACATGTAAGAGGGTATGGCTTTTGGCTCACTCAGACTGCACAAGCAAAGTACACAATTGCACTGAAGCATTTTATTCAGATGTTGTCGTCTTTTTTGCCTACAAAGACGAGGATATTGCTTTCCATTTTCTGTGTCTTAAAGTCATCACGGAAAGATGTTCTAGAGATGTCTGAATTAAATCAGGGATTAAAAGGACCCCAGAGTGCACTGGTTCTGTGTTTGACTTTTATTCTAAGTGCATTTGTGCTCCTAGGCGACACTCAGGGAAGCAAAATTCAGATGTCTAGTAACTTGGCAGCCAGAACAGAACATATCTCTCCAGGTCTCCTTGCCATATGAATAGAAGTAGTTATATAAAACAGGTTGTAAGCACAAAAACATAATTCACAGGGCTAAGAAATTTTAAGTGCGTGAAATCACTAGGCAACAAGTGTATAATCAAGAAGTACAAAATATATATTCTTATTATCCTTGTTAATTCTGTCCGTCTGGTTAAAAAATAAGCTAATTTTAGAGTTTCAGTGTAGAGGAATGGGTACAGCAACTTATATGACAGTTCTATTATGTTTTAGAACTGTATTACTACCATATGGTGTCTCATCATGTAAAATCAGAAGAACATTTAAGACATTTATATCGTGTATCAGCATGGGATTAAAAAGCTGTTCAGCTAAATGTTACTGTTGTTGGTTGAGTTGCAGTGAGTCATGTGCTCACAAAGCATTTAGAACATTAATCCACACTACTGGAGTTGACAAAAATAAACGTCAGTATGACATACAGTATATCAGTAATGTATTACTGTTTAACTAAACAACATTTTACACCCTGGTGTCTAATAATGTAAATAATGTATGATTTCAGGTGGACATACTCAGATTTCTACAACAGATATCGGGTGCTCATGAAGAAGAAAGACACGACTATTGGTGATAAGAAGCAAGTCTGCAGAAATCTGCTGGAGTCCTTGATCAAGGTAACAGTTCAAGTCCTATATTATTACAGTGTACACAGCTGATAAAATGGTATAAAATAAATGTAGCCACAAGGCTTTGGCACACAGCTGTAAATATTCAAATATTTTTGTGCATTCTTCTTAAGTTTGAGTGTATGCAGGATGCAGTAATTTGTCACTTTCAAGGCTGATTGCACAGTTACTCCCTGATCCTGTAATACACGTCACAGGTTCGTGCTGTTCAGAGCGATGAAAAATGCTAGATAAATTGCTGCCTAATTTTTTTGGTGCTACTTAGCCTTTGGCATTTTGAAAATATCGTTTTTCATCTCTATCATCTCAATAAATTTCAATTTGTGAACTTAGCCGCACCCTTCTCCAGAATGTTGGCTCTAATGGCTTTAGCCTTCTTAGCTCAGCATTTCCGTACTCCCTGTACTCCCCGCTCTCCTAAAGCTGCCGCGCAGGCCTGATGAGGGCCTGATGAAAAACTGTGTAATCAGCATCAGTCTCTCCAGGCTATGGTAATATGGGGATGCAGGAGTGGATGTTATTAAGCTCGGATATGGATGTGTGTTCACTCGTCTAATAGATTTGGTTAATTTGTTTTATTAGCTTTGCATAGGGGAGCTGTAATAGAATTTTACTGTATATAAAGCTGTCAAAATGAGAGAGAAACTCATATTCCACATAAAATATATGACCCATTTAAAGCTGCTTTTGTGCTGTTAAATTAATGATTATTGCTTAATCATCCAATTGAGCATGACGCACTCTCCACTTCATCTTTCTCCTAGGATCCAGACAAGTTCCAGTTTGGAAAGACTAAGATCTTCTTCAGAGCAGGCCAGGTAGCATACCTGGAGAAGCTCAGGGCAGACAAGTTCCGCTTTGCATGCATTAAGATCCAAAAAACTGTGCGGGGATGGCTGCAGAGGACACGTTACCTCAAGATCCGCAAGTCTGCCATCACACTACAGAGATACGGACGCGGCTACTTGGCACGCAGGTAAATTTGAATTAGATAGCACCTACTTTGCATTGATTTACTGTAGTCACTTAACTGAGCCCTTTCGCTCTGTTCTGTTTAGCGTCACCTCATTCTCTTTCTTTTTCTCTCTCTCTTTCTCCTTCTCTTTCTCAGGTATGCCGAGTACTTGCGACTCACCAGAGCAGCACTTATCTGTCAGAAGCAGTACCGGATGGTGCGGGTACGGCGTGCGTATCTGACTGTTCGTCAGGCTGTCATCACTATCCAGGCCTTCACCCGGGGCATGTTCACACGAAGGCTATACCAGGAGGTACCATACTACACTGCACTGTACACCTCTAGCACTGTTTCGTTCTTTTTATTTCTTGCTTTCTTACATGATTACTTTCCATTACATGACTTTTTGCTTATTTTTTTTGTTTGTTTATTTCCTTTATTTCTTGCATGCTTACTTTCTTTTTGTTGTCATATTGTTTATTTCCTTTCTTTTCTTGCTTTCTTTTCTTTCTTTTCTATCTTTGTCTTTCTTTCTTGCCTGCTTGCCTGCTTCCTTCCTTTCATTCCTTCTTTCTTGCATCCTTGCTTTGTTTTGGTTGTCTTATTGCTTATTTCCTCTTTCTGTCTTTCTTTCTTTCTTTTTCATGTTCCTTCTTTCTTTTTCTGTCTTTCTTTCTTTCTTTCTTTCTTTCTTTCTTTTCTTTTGCTCTGTTTTTTCCCTGTCCCTCTTACTCTACTCCTCTCTGATCTCCCCCTCCCCCCTCACCAGCTGTGCTCTGAGCAGTTTAGAAGAAGCAGTTGGAAACAACATGCTTTGCATTTAGAGTTTTCAGCAGAATGTTGCATAACACCAACCTGCTTTGGCACATGAGAATTTAGTTTGTAGTGTCACTTTGTGTGGAGTTCTTTTCACTCTGGTGTAGAAATTCTGAAAAGCAAATTTCCTTTTTTTTCTCTCAATCCATTCAGTTCCTTCTCCACCACAAAGCAATTATCATCCAGAGAACAGTACGTGGATGGCTGGAGAGAAAGAAGTTCCTCCGTGCCCGGAATGCTGCAATTGTCATCCAGTGTGCCTACCGCCGTGTCCTCGCCAAGCGGCAGTTCAAACAGCTTAAAATCGAGGCTCGCTCAGCCGAGCGCTTAAAGAAACTCAACATTGGCATGGAGAACAAGATTGTCCAGCTTCAGAGAAAGATGGATGATCAGGTACAGGAGGCCTGTGGTAATACACCACATAATACACCACAATTAATTGCAGAATTATCTAATCTAATTTATTACACACAGTCACATCCTTCGTTCATGTAACAGTAGTGTTAACTATAAGCCTCCCCCAGTGATAAAGCTAAAGCAATTGTTCCACCAAAAACCTAATTTACACAGTCATCTCTTTACCAACTCCCAAATATAGCTGATCATCTAAGACATGTTTAGTGTTCAAAATTTGTTTCTTTAGTTTTGCACAAGGTTTAGCCAACAGATTCTCATTAAAACTGTGTGCTTAAATCATGACACATTAGCCTCAAAACATATTGAAGTGTTCTCAGTTACGCTTGCTTATGTGGTTTCTGACAAACTTTTATCTGTACAAATAGATAACATTGTCAGAAACCACACAAAGCAAGTTCATCATTACAGCAGTAGTACCCAAGCAATTTTTAGATTTTGCATGTCTTACACATCACATGTACATATACATGTGAAACTGACCAATGCTCTTTGTTTTTCTTTGTTACTCTTGTTACAATCAATCAACAAATCAGTCAACCAGTAGAACATTGAGTGTTTAGTAAGCAAAATACAATGATGATACTGGCAATATCATAATATCACTAACTTTAGCACTTGAGGAAACCTTCAGCAAACTACACTGGACAGTGCTTAAAGGAAAACTATGGATAAATCAACAAGCAGGCGACTTAACAAAAGCAACAGCACAGTGGAAAAACTATTTCCCCTCGTAATAAGGTGTAACATAGCAGCTTGACAGTGAGAGGCTATAATTGCAGAACAGTTGGAACCACTGATTGTTTGTACATGATATATAGTATATAGACTCATTGGTTGAAACGTGCAGCCGCTGTTGCCCTCACTGGACGCGGTGATGAAAACTGTATCCACCTTATTTTCATGTTCACTCTTGGGAAATCACGATTTTCATGTCAGTTCATGTGAACCCAGTATTCTACATTGAATTACTGTAAGTAATAAAGCTATAGCTATAACAAAAAACGTTTTTTTAGGGTCAAATTTGAGCAAATAGGACAAACGTGATTAATCGTGCCTAATTCTTTAATCATTTGAAAGCCCTGTTCAGTAGCTAAGCCTTCATCTCTCTTGTTTATTTCCACAGACAAAAGAGTACAAGACTCAGAATGAGCAGTTGTCTGTCACCAACATTGCTTTGGGCACAGAAGTCAACAAGCTGCAAAAAGAGCTGGAGACCCTCCGCAGTCGTCAAGGAGACAACACTCAGCTGACCTCACTGCAGGAGGAGCTTGAGAAGCTGAGGGCGGCACTTCAGGAAGCACACGCCCAAAGGAAGAAGCTTGAAGAGGAGCACAGCAGTGAGAAGCTTGAACTGGAGCAGGTGAGGGTGTAGGCAGTCAGGCTTTTGTAAATAGAATATGAAAGTTTTCAATGTTTTTTTTTCTTATCAAAGTAGATTAAATTGATTTTGTTTTTGAATTTATATTTTCAAATACTGCTGATAAATTGATCAGAAAAAATGATCAGAGACTCAGAGTATGAATATCAACTGTATGGAGTACATTCACTGCAGTCTAAGAGACATTGGACAGTAGGCCTAGGGTACACAAGAGGTCATGCATTATGTAACTAATCTCAGTCCTTCATTGCCATTTAATCAGTTCAAGTCAGTTGCACCTAATTTAGATTGAATTGATTTTCCTGTTAATATGCCAGTTGCCTTACTATCAAGTAGAATTGATAGCGGCCTTTCTTGAAACTTTATAGATCTCATGCCTGAGCTAAATGTCTGTATTATTGAGTAAATTCTATTATCTGCCTTTTTGTCTAAGAGTTTCTTCAAGGTCATACATGTCATATATTGGGACAAGAGCAGGTTCGCAGATGATGTAGCCCACTGCCACATTAATAAAGACACTACGACTACAAGATCCGCTTTTATGAAAATCTTGTGAAAGCTCCTTATTATTAAGTAGGATCTGATAAGTTATTTTGGAATAGAGAGCTGTTAAAGACCATTTTTCTGTCCTCTTTAGAGAGTGGAGGAGCTGGAGAAGGAAAACTCAATGCTGAAGGCAGAGAAAGAGGAAATGAATCAGAGAATCCGCCACTCTCAAGGTTCTAAAGGTGAGTTTCACACTCCACTGCACCTGCATCTCAGGTCATGCACTCAGGCACTCTGTTGAGTACTCTGTGTCAGGAACTAAAGTGAATTTGAGCTTCCCAGAAGGCAGGGCTTGGTTTGTTTCACACACAAGAGGGGTCTCTGTGCAGAAGTAGGGTAAGAGGGAGGGAGGCTGACAGAAACTGCATTGGATTTCAGTGCAGGAATGTAAGATCACCTCTTTACCTTCTGTTTTTGAGCTCGGCATTGTTCTGCGCTGGTTCACATTTAAGAAGGGTACGTGAAACCAAAGGTTAGGTCTCTGTCAAATCTACCGTTAACTTTTTTAAGTGTTTTTATAGCTGAGTGTAACTTTTCCCTACTTATTTGTCTCCTGTTGGGCTTAGGGCAGAAAATGAAATTGTAACCACAAGTTTTGAATGATGATCATGTGCCTTTCACATTGGTCCCTGGATGTATTTGTTTATTTTTATACCAGTGGCAATATTGTTTGAGTGCACTTGATAAGAAAAGGAGCCTCATTCACCTATTACATTATCTAAAAGGTATTGGACTCTGGCTGCTCTTATTGAGACTCAAACCTTTAAAAGTAGATGTTGTTCCACTGAGATAAAAAGTGTCTTTGTATGCGATTAAAAAAAACTTTGCTACAAAACTATCAAATAGGACACAGAAGGTTTCGTTCACAGGGTTAGACTTGTAGCTTACGTAACATGGCTACATCATCACATGTCTTTGTCACAGACAAACGGGGAAAAACTTGAGAGGAAAATAGCTGAATTTACTTGAGCATTTCAGTTCTTCAACAGCCTCTTTTTAACTTTGGATTTATTATGCAATCCAGGTTTGTGGTGATGTGCCAGACTGTGGAAAGAAGGGGTCAAAGTTAGCTAATAAAGTTACACATTGTAATATCCTGTCATATCCTGTCATATAAACATTAAGGCAATTAGGGTTTACTAATGGCCATCAAGTAATCTTGTAAATCTAATTATGTCTTTTCATCTGTAATAAGTAGCACTTGACAGCATACTGTAGTTGTAACACAATGTTCACTTCAGAAATGGTGTAAGTGCATTATTACTAGTTCTAATAGTATAAAATGCTATGTTATTATAACAAATAAGCTTTTAATAATTCAATTCAGTTAGTCAGCACTTGAAATACATGGCTAATGTCTGTTTGGTGTGTGTAGGTCAGGAGGGCACTGTGTCTCAGAAAGAAGTCCGTCTGCAGACTGAGCTTGATGAAGAGAGGCTGCGCTATCAGAACCTCCTGAAAGAGTTTTCCAGACTGGAGCAGAGATATGACAACTTGCAAGAGGAGATTGCTTACAGCAAGGTAGCACATACTTTAGAATAAGCAGACAGACTTCAAAAAATGAAAGGAAAGAGGAGAAATGTTTATTCTGTTATATTGTTTTATCTTTGATCCTATAGTTTGCTCCAGGTCATCGGAGGAACCCCTCTAACCAGAGCAGCATAGGCTCTGAGTCACCCTTCCCCTCCATCACCATGTCTGAAGTGGGAGACACTGAAGACACCATTCAGCAGATAGAGGTATGGCTGATGTGAAGCACAAAACACTACACTCCTCACTTACACAACACATTTAGTCTAATGAATTTTAGATTTGCTACACACTTCCAGTATAAAATGCTATGCTATCATGGTCTATGATGTTGTAGCAAATCGAACTAGGCAGGTTGGAAAGCATGATAAAGACAGCTCAGTTACATAACAAAAAAACTACACCCAGACTCCCAAAAGTGTGACTTTTGTCTCTCACACACATACACACACACAGAAACCGTTATTTATTTAATTTCAGTCAAAACAGCCATTAAGTACAAGTTGAAAGCTGAAAACAAATATTTAACCTAAAATCACACAGAACCCTTAACTACTAAATATAATATAAATTTTTTCAGTATTTAGTATGTCCTACCTTTACCTTTATTACAGCTTTCTTTTTTTCTGAAGACTTGCTTTCAGTTTTCAAAGATGTTTAAGATATTTGCAGGGATGTTTTTCCACACCTCCAGCGTTCAGTCTTAGAAGTTGGTTGCATTTACTGCTTTTCATGTTCAGTTTAGACTTCTCAGTCCTATAAAGCTTTAGTCAACATCTCAGACGTCTTTAGGATAGATCTGTCTCTTCATATTTACATTTAGCATATCTAAAAAGATGTTATCTAGAAAGCTTTACAATTTTTAGATGGTCTTGCCAAGTTAATCTCAGTATTTTCCTTTGTCTCTGTAGGAGATGGGCCTGGGGAATGCAGCCATGGATCTCAGTGTGTTTATGAAGCTGCAGAAGCGAGTGCGAGAGCTGGAGCAGGAGAGAAAGAGACTTCAGACCAACCTGGAGAAGATGGAGGAGCTGAGCAAGCGCAAAGTTAGTATTCCTCGCAAACATTGTGTGAATTTCACAAATGTTAAAATATTCTGAAAGTGGGTATTGTAGTATTGTACAGGCTGAGCTGAAAATCTGTTTAGATTGGACCTAATTAATTGCATGTGTGAGTGATAGCAACACGTTACAGGAGTTGTCTTACAAATGGAACATGGAAACTGTGATGCCACAGTAGATTGTGGAAGTGTCTTTGGACTCACCTATGTTATGGCTCATGATAATAAATATTTATCATATCAGTCCATCTTGTAACACAGCAGACATCTCTTGTCTTATCACAAAAGTTCAACTTGTGTTTACAGTTTTTTTTTTTTCTTCACCTCTCTGAACTCTCAGCCGATTGATCCAAAGAGCTCCACGTCAGAGGAGGACACAAATGCAGATCTGGCCTACAACAGTCTCAAGGTTTATATATATACACACACACACACTTTGCTCTTGGTCAGACTAGCAGTCATCAGAAATATGTCTCTTCTTCTGTACATCGATTTGTGCTGCACATTGGCTGGTCTGGTGCTGCTTGCACTGCTGCCTCTTAGACTGTGGGTGAGTGGGAGGACAGCGGACCAAAGAGGTAGACCTAGAAAACTGATTTTTATCAGTATTGACATTTATTATGGCAAGTTTTAGTGATGCAGATCACGGGCATCGGCCTAGTGCTTAATTACTTTTAATACAGTTTTTACATTTAATACAATGTGTTAGACACATGACAACAATTATGCAAGGTAGAGAGCATGCACTGCACCATTGTGTTGCTATGTACTTATTTATTTATTAGCACTGGCTATATTGGAATAAAATGGAGCACAGAAAGACTACTTACTACTTTTTCAGTGTGTACTTTCAAGTACATTCAGCTTCAGTAAGTCTTAACATCTTTATTTAATATGGTGCCAGAGCTCTTAGCACTGTCATACCGATCAGCCATTCAGTTTTCGGCCAGGGGATTGACGAAGTACCACTGGAGAGTACAAGCTTGAAAATGTTAGACTCAGCTGAGAGATCAAAGTACAAGGCCAGTCACATTCAAGTCTTTTGCAGTGTGTATCATGCCTTTATGGTTGTAAGAAATTATTAGGTGATTTAAAGGCTTTGATAACATATTGAATTGAATGTGTTGAAGCTGCATGGTTACATAAGTGACTGACTCTAAGCCAGTTGTGTCTCAGTGGTGTAGTAGCTTTAGCATAACCTTTGGCAGTTTTTTTTCAGCTCTTCACATCTTAGATAATGATATGTTGTGGGCTGAGTTAGCAAAATTATAGTTTTGGGTCATTTACATTATGTGTTGCTGGAAATTACAGACATTAAACTTAATTTTTCTCTCCGTACTCTGTACCTCATCCCCTCCTCATCTCTCTTTCCCCTTCTCTCTTTCTCTCTCATTCTCTCTTTTTCTCAGCAGGTGTTCTATGTGCCTCTGCTCTATTTTACAAATTGGCAAATAGGCACTGCAGTTTGAATGTGGTGTTCAGCAGAAACTTACATAACATCCGCCTTCCTCAGCAAATGCAAATGTTTTTGAAAAGCATTTCATTGTTTATAGACCTAATTTCACAAGGCTACAGAAAAAATGTTTTACCCAGCACCTTGCCTGTTCACTTTCATTCAAATTACAAAGGCCTTCTCATAAGAGACATGCTCGTTTTTTAATGGTTATTATTGTGTGTCTCTCTCTCTCTTTCCCTCAGATTTCATTTCACTTCTGCAAAATCAGAAGTTCCTCAAGTATTATGTGCACATCTTAACACACTGCCTGTTTTCTTCCATTTCTGCAGAGGCAGGAGCTTGAGTCTGAGAACAAGAAGCTGAAGAATGATCTGAACGAACTTCGTAAGGCATTAGCTGACAGGGCCTCTGAGAGCTGCTCCTCCAATGAGCTGCAAGACAGCTACAACCTGCTGCTCAGTCAACTCAAAGCAGCGAATGAGGAGCTGGATGTACGCAAGGAGGAGGTTCTTATGCTGAAAACTCAGATTGTCAGCACCACGAAGCCAACAGAAGACACCAATCACATTGTGAGTTTAAATATTATTGAAGTGTAAATACGCCAAGAAAAGTCCTTTTGTTATAATAAAAGTCCATTTGATACACCACTTCAGAGCCTGTCTGGGTCAGCGCTTAAAGGTCTTATTTATTTTCTTCCTGCATTAGTATAGCACTATAGTTGAATCATTTTCCTCTCAAATGCATTTTTCATGTTTGGCCTTAGCTGAGCTCAGTTAAAATTAGGGGTGGGTCATACAGCAATCTTGTGGCCAGAATAATAGAAACATTTTTATCATCATCCTTGGGTTTGTGAAAGGCACTATATATAATTTATATTATATATATATATATATATTTATATAGTGCCTTTCACAAACCCAAGGATGCTTTACATTGAAGCAAAAAAATAAACTAACAAAAAAAGAATTTAGACTTGGAGGAAGTAAAATAGTGTGCAGTAAAGAGGAAGGTTTTAAGGTTTTGAGCTTTAAAGGAAGGGCAGGTAGAGCAGTCTAAGAGCCACAAGATTTAGTGAGAGTTCCACAGTTTAGGAGCAGTGGCACTGAAAGACCTGCGGCCAACTGATGAGGGTCGTGTACGTGGTACTTTAAGAAACCCAGTGCCAGAAGATCTGAGGGAGTGAGAGGGACAGCAAGGATGAAGGTCACTAAAGTATGAAAGGCTGACACCATGCAGGGCTTTGAAAGTTATCAGGAGAAGTTTGTACTTGATAGAAGAATATATTGGTATCTAGCGAAGCTGATGGAGGATGGAGCTGATGGGTGCAGAGCGCTTCGTAAAAATGAGCACTCTGGCTGCAGAGTTGTGAATTAAGCCAGTTGAGCAATTTAACAGGGAGACCATTAAAAAGGGAGCTGCAATAATCAATGTGGGAGTAGATGAAGGCATCATCTGATCTGGGTTCTTTCATTAGATATTATTTAGCTACTGCAATGATAGCTTCTCAGGATAATGGCAGCTTATTTAACACCTTATTTTATTTTAGACCTTATTTCATAGAATGATATTAGCTAACTTTAGCCAATGGTGAAGCATCTGTTACTTCATGGCAGGGGTGACCACAGTCACCGCACCATCACAGTAGCTATCATGGTGGTTACAGTTAACGAACTTCAATAAAATCTCTTTTTTCAGTTCTGTGTCCAACTGAACAGGCTTGTTAAAAGGGAACAAGAACACAAAGCAAAATCTCTGAAGCAAGTGGCCAAATGGCTCTGTGTTTTTAGTGGCCAATATGTGAAATGTTGTGGCCATGTGTACCAGGCAGTTGGCAGTACCCCTGCATTCAGCTATTTGTATAAGCCTTGATAAATCAGCCCATTGCAACAAGACTCATTTGAAGTGCACTGACCACCTCAGCCTTTCAGAGACTCGATCAGGTCAGCCAGGTCTCATATGATTTTTCAATCCATTAGCCCGCTGTCGGGAACTCCTTAATGAAAGTCCCTTATTCGGTAGCACGAGCAGCCAGGTGTGGCAGAGAGCAGTGCAGCTCTACAGGGAAGAGAGGAAAGAGCAGAGTTTCTAAAACAGTCCTCGAGTGCCTTTCGCACCACTCAATTCTCTCTGCCCTGTAAAATGGCATGTCATGTCAACTTTCATTATATTTAGTCTGCTCTTAGACGTTGGAGTGGTCTTTCTTTTTCCTTCCATGTCTAACTTTGAGTTTGTCTTCCTTTGTTTTTTGCACCCACGCTCCTCTCTATTATTTTTTTTACACTCTCTCTTGCCGATTCAGGTTAGCATCGGTGCTCTCTGTGATAGATTCAGTTAAGGTTGTCCCTCAGGGGTGTGATGGCCCGCCTTTGAGATGTGCTCTTAGTGAGCAGCTGATGTGCTCTGGTGGCAGCTGAAGCTGATGTGTTCAGTCATGAGGATTTTAAAAGGCAGGAAGATGTTAAAAGGGGCATTAATGGCAGGGTTACTCTGTCAGGGCTGAGGACATCATGCCTTGTTATCATGCTCTACTTTTACTTTCAAATATTGTATGTGTTAGCACTTGTATTTCTACTCTTTAAAGGTTTAAAGGCCATAAGTTAGTCTGTTTTTGTTTTTTTGTTTTTTTCACCGAACCATTTGTAAAGTATTTGAACAAGATTAATTTTTATAGATAAGTAATCTGTACATCTCTGCCACAAACAAAAAGGTAAACTTCGTTTGAACCAGATGACCTAAATATATAAAAATATGTACATTAACTATAAATATGATTAGAGAAACAAGCAAACAAAACACAAAGTAGAGCAACAAATATCAGCACAATAAAATTGAGCTCTATTTTATTTACGCATCTGTAGTGTTTTTGATTAATCTGTACATAAAAAGGTCAAAAAATAACTGTTTTCAATTTATTTGAGAGGAAAATGGACTTCTTTCATTGTTTTCATTAGCTGTAAAACTAACCCCACTATGTGGAGGATGTAATTTAGCCTGGCTAGCGCTCACTGTGAGTTTTTACATGCTTCAAAATTGTGCAATATTACAGCAATATCAAGGTCAATCCCAAAAAACATCTGATTAATTGCTGTGAAAATGTACAGATTATACTGATATCGGAATTTGAGAAAGTGACCTTCATAACTACATTGAATGTCTGTTATATTTTATGCTATATTAGGTTGTGCTGCTCTCTCCTACATCGCCATTAAAACTTACAAGCATCTTTTATCAGCTGTAGGGTTCTCATAACAAAGACACAAGTATAATTCTGTGTCTGTATCCCATTTCCTAATAGGACTCCAATGATGTCACAGATTGGGCTAACAACAAAAAGCCGATAGACAAGGAGGAGGCTCTGCAGGCATACCAGGGACTCAGCGAGTCCAAGAGGTAAGTAAATACCATAAAACTGTGAGAGCTTTGGAACTTAACTGCTCCTGCTTATTTGCCTTTTTGTTTTTTAATATTCATTTTTGAATATTTATTGTGTTTAGAATGAAGTCGTAACACTACATGATATCTACCTTTAGTTTAAGTACATACAGATTGCTTCTTATTTCTCCACAGCACTGCTGTGATAACTCACTCAAACAGCGTTAGCAAGGCCTTGTCATTTAGAAATATTGACAGTTGCATACCTAAAGGTGTTCTTCCTGGCATTCTTATTATATTTTTAGCTCTGACTTCTAAAGTAAACACCTTCCACCCTGCTCTGACAGTGATATGGAGTGACTGTTTTGACAAACATTTGAATCCATCCCAAACTTTCAATGTAGACAATCTACTTACCTGAGCTAAAGTGACTTCTTGTGCATGCATCCCTCTCCTTCCTCTGTCTCTCAGTCCCTTTGAGTGTGCTATCGTTGTTGTCCAGACACTAGAATCTAACATTAAAAGTAAAGTAAGTTTTTTCTTTCTCCTATAAAATTACTATTTTAGAGGTTTTGTTCCGACAGCAGCGATATATAGTCCTGAGATGTTCAAATGTCTATCGGGGGCATAACTACAATGTCTTTCTTTGTACTTGTGAGATTGTACTTTATTCAATTGGAACTGATTATTTTATGAATACTTGTTCTTTTGCTTCTATCACAATTTTAAGAGGAAAAAAATACTTTTTACTCCCCTTCATTTTGACCTTCAAAGCACAAGTAAATATTTCTATGGCAGCATATTCTGGACGTTTTTCATATTCAGATGCAAATTTGAAAATGCTAATTAAATTCTTCTGAAGCAAAGTCTTTCTGACATTTTCATTGTTTTAATGTTATGACTCTGGCGTATTAAAAACAGAATAACAGTCACTCATTTGCAATTACATTTCCTCATTGTTTTGCTTCAGCTCTGCCAAAAGGAAAATGTATTTGCAACCCTGTTTGCAATTGCCTTTTCACTGTCAGTGAAGAACTCCTGTCAATCAAATGCTGTGGGTGGGATGTCAGTATGGGGCGTGCCGTAGACAGTGAAAACGCAATTGCAGGTTGGAGCGTCATGATGAGGAAATGTAATTGCAAATGAGAGATTGTTCTTTTGTCAGAGTCGTAACATTAAAACAATGTAAATAAAACGACTTGAAGACTTTGCTTTTCCATATTAACCTATTCCAGCCATTATACAGAGAAATGCAACCGCAGATAGACATTTTGAATTTGAATTTGAATCATATCTTCAGTAATGCACCCTCACATGGGAAATGCAACCTTAAATACATGATTTAATTATCATTTTCAAATTTGAAAGTCCAATATTCTACCATACATTTCAAAGGACATACTATTTCTCTCTTGTTCTCTTGCCAGTTAGTCGAGTTGCTGCACATTTTAATTTATTATTTTTGTTAAATGAAAACATCTAACTAAATTCATTCCAGTGCAATATGAAACTGCCCACAGATGTGTTGGAGGACACTTACCAGCCAATAGTGACCACACTATACACCCCTAAAAATAAAACTTTGAATTAGTTTATTAAAACATTTTACTTATGTTAATATATATATATATATATATATATATATATATATATATATATATGTGTATATATATATATATATATATATATATATATATATATATATATATATATATGTATGTATATATATGTGTATATATATATATATATATATATATATATTATATATATATATATATAGGCTGACCACCTTTTATGTCTTACCAAAAAATGACAACTTGCTTATTTACTTGCTATTGCTATGCAACAACCAAGTTGATGCTCTAATGGTTTAAGTTGTTGTAGCTGCCCATGAATCCTGGATGTAAAACTGCAGAAGTGCAGGTGGAATGAACGTTTTGCAGCTAAAATACTTCTTAAACTATATTCCTGCCAATATAGTTCCTAATGCCTAAAGCATCATTCTATGATAACACTGCTAGGCCAGCCTGTTCTGCCTAACTAACCACTTTATTCTGCCTAACTAACTGCTTTCTTCTCTCTCCTCTCGTCTGCTTTCTAATTTCATTTGTGCCACTGCTTCTCTTTTTCTCTGCTTGGACAGCAGTAAAACACAGGACTGGGGTTATTTGAATGAAGATGGAGAGCTTGGCCTGGCCTATCAGGGGCTAAAGCAAGTAGCCAGGTTGTGCCTTTGTGCTTCAATCTTTTGCTGCCTTCCAGCTCCTTTATTTAATCTCAGCTGACTGCGTGTCACTCTTTTAGTACTTAAAAGTAGCACTTACTTATAACATTCATGGCGCTGGTTTAGCTGAGAGCTTCTCTGTAATGCTCGTATGGAAGATGAGTATCTTGGATACTTTCTTTTCTGTCACATTTCACGTTTTGGATTGAATTCTTCATTTTATTTGGAACTGTGTGATCCCACAGTGCATGCAGCATTTATTCAGTGCACAGGCAAAGATGAAAATTTTAGCTAAGTAGTGAAACTTTGGCTGTGTTCTAGGCTGCTGGAGGCACAGCTGCAGTCCCAGTCACGAAAGCACCAGGATGAACTGGAGGCTCTGCACACACAGATTGAGGTGCTGAAGGAAGACTTGGAGAAGAAGCAGGAGATGCTAAATCACTTCAGCACCCTCTCCCCGGAGGCGCTGGTGGAGTTCAGCGTCCAGCAGGAGATCACTCGCCTCACCAATGAGAACCTGGTGAGCACACTCACCTTCACAGCAATGGAAAAATAATACATGTGGTAAAGCATAAAACTTTATAAAATTTTTGTTCCTCCTCATGATTACGATGATATGTTCCAGGATCTCAAAGAGATCATGGAGAAGCTGGAGAAGAATGAGAGGAAGCTCAAAAAGCAGCTTAGGATCTACATCAAAAAAGTTCAGGAACTTGAAGGTATGATGTATACTGTTCTTATTCTCTTATTGCAGCTTATTGTACTAAGGTAGAGTAATGTCATACCTCGCTGTCATACTAATGTGATATTCGTTGTGTTGTGCAGTGGCCCAGGCAGCAGCCATGCAGGCTAACAGGGCCAGGCCAGAGCTGACCCGCCAGGTCACAGTGCAGAGGAAAGGAGAAAGACTTTGAGGGCATGTTTGAGTACTACAAAGAGGACGAAGCCTTGCTTATAAAGGCTCTTGTCACTGGTAAGTATGAGCAGGATTACCAGTCTTAAATTTGAATTATTATTTAGTTATTAACTTGTCAACTTTGACACCACAAATATATAAAAAAAAGCAATTGCAAAAAGTAAAGCTCCCCTCGAGAGCCTCTAGTGTAATCAGAGTGAGAGCGATAGGGCTACAATCTCGAAAGAACCACTAACTAAATGATATATTTGATATATATTGTCACTGGTCGAAACATGCCACAACAGCCACTGTTGCTCTAACTGGATGTCAGTAATGAAAACCGGAAATTGCATCTGCCTTTCTTTTATGTTAACCCTGTGTTCACATGATCATGAAAAATGTTATTGAATTATTGAAAGTAATATATACATTTTGAATAAGCGTATTTTCTGCTTTTTAAATAGAATATGTTTCTTTAAGGTCAGATTTGAGCAAATAAAATGTATTTACATTTATAGACAGTTGCCAACTCTACATAAATGAGTCTGTTAGTTGCTGTAGCATGTATCCTGCTAATGCTTTAGCTGTAAGAGATTCGCCTAAATGACCCATTTTACTGTTTCTAATTCTGTTTGTGCCTGTGTGTTGTTCTCAGACATGAAGCCCCATGTTGTGTCAGCCACGGTCCCCTGTCTCCCAGCCTACATCCTCTTCATGTGCATCCGTCACGCTGACTACATCAATGATGACCAGAAAGTGCACTCCCTGCTTACCTCGTCCATTAATGCTGTCAAGAAAGTTCTCAAGGTGTGTTTCCCAGTTCTGATTCTAAGCAAAGGATTCAGTTTCATACGAATTTCATATTAACTTCATACTAAATTTCACAACAAAAAAATATTCACCAATACAAAAGCTCATGAGTTGTTGATGTGCACAGACATTACCATTTCCACTGCTGTTGTTACTTTGCAGAAAAACAATGATGACTTCGAAATGACCTCTTTCTGGTTGGCTAACACTAGTCGACTCCTGCACTGTCTGAAGCAATATAGTGGAGACGAGGTGAGAAGCACAACCTATCCAAACTCATTTGCTTCATTACAGCACCACTTACAGTCTTCAGCGATAGAGATTTTGTTTGATCCTGTTTATTCCCAAACAGCCTCAGTCCTAGCTAAGCTTTGTGTGACTTTCATTGCACAGGCATTCATGACCCAGAACACAGCCAAACAGAACGAACACTGCCTGAAGAACTTTGACCTTGCAGAGTACCGGCAAGTTCTGAGTGATCTGTCCATCCAGATCTACCAGCAGCTCATTAAAATAGCTGAGGCCATTCTTCAGCCCATGATTGGTTAGTAGTTTCTTTGTGTTTCTATGTGTCCCCCTTCAGTCCTCAAAGGATCTGATTAATATTATTTTTCCGTTGTTACTCTGTCCATGACACACTTCCTTCTTGACAGTGATGTATATATTTTCCCTTTTCTGTGGTAGTGTCTGCTATGTTGGAGAGTGGAAGCCTCACAGGGGTCAAACCCATGGGCTACAGGCACCGTTCTTCCAGTATGGACTGTGAGACCGGGGGTCCCAGGGGGCTACACCCTAGAGGCTCTGATCAGACAGCTGAGCCAGTTCTACACCATCATGGGAGAGCACGGGTTGGACCCAGAGATCGGCCAGCAGGTCATCCGCCAGCTTTTCTACAGCATCAACGCCGTCACGCTCAACAACCTGCTGCTGCGCAAAGACGTCTGCTCCTGGAGCACTGGCATGCAGCTCAGGTATAACAGAAAAAACTTAAATGCCAGCAGAAATAGGGCTGCAAGGAGACAACAGCAATTTAATTTACTTCAAAACACTTCACTCTGCTCATGATTTTTTTATACCACCTATTTTTCAGAATTTCTGAATAATTCAATGTTTGAGATGTAAACAAAGTCATTTAGAGTGGTTTGATGTGAAATGGGGTATTGTAGAGAAACTTACTGACTACCAATTTCTATACAGTGGTAGTGACAGAAACCAGGGGTTGTGATGTCTACAATGAAAATATAGTCATTTTATTTACTATGAGTCTTCTGAATTTATGTATGTCAGGTTGATAGTGTTCAAACAGTGGTAGATCCCCAAAAAATAATTTTTTGGGTACTACTTTTCCTTTTAGCACCCTGCATATACCTATACCTCTCCACCATGAATCTGCTTTTATAAATATATGTTAGGCCAAAACCTTATCCCAAAACAATGGGTGCATTCAAAATGGCATACTACTATACTACATATTGCAGACTGCACAAGTATATACTGTACACTGCATGCTCCTCTTCATAGTAGTATACAGTAGAGTATCCAGTATACGACCAACATCAGGGACTAAGCCAGTCAGACCCGTCTCAACACCCACCATATTTTCCTTAGCTCTTCAATCACTGCTAGACCCTTTTTTTTGGCTCTTTTTCAGGTCAGGTCTTTAGTAATATGTGTGGATATAATGCATATACAGGTTTGGATACGTCTGTATGGTAAACCTATGTAGTTTCCAAACACACCTGTTTTTCTCTATTTATGACTCATTTTCATTTTCATTACATTCGTAGTTGGTAAATTGAAAAGTTGGTAAAGTTGTTTGGTTGAGACTAACTTTAGTGAGTTACTGGTGAACTATGTTATCTATAGTTAATGTTATTAAAGAGATGAAGTAAGCAAACACACCTTAAGACCAGCAGCGAAAACTGATGGAATGTTAGCGTAACACTGAGCGCAGCAGCAGGACAAACTATTTCCTTTCACATCATTCATGTGTTCATAAAAGGCTGAAACTGAGTCTGTTAAACTGTTCGGAGCAAACCAGGTGGTTCTATCCGTAGTTACATCCTCACAAAACGACCATGTTACATTTTTGGATGCAATATATCACAAAGATGTGCCTGCCTGCAGAAGTTGTACATCCTATGGGTATCTTTGGTGTACTGGGTAAATTCATGTTGGTCACATACTAGCTACTACTTTTGTTACTACTTTTTGTGCACATGCAAATTTCATGCCTTAATCGCTTGCTTGCCTTAACCCATGTCAAATTGCTAAGTCTTAAATAGTTATGCCTGTGTGATTTCTGACATTGTATATATGAATACTGTTATATAAAAATGTACAAAAGTTTATTGCATGGCTAAAAACAGTAGTGGCAGCAAAATTGAAACCTGAATTTGTTTGCAGTTTTGACCATTTTTATAGTTGCTTTTCTGTTACTTGAATGGCAGTTATATTAGTCTCATTAGTAACATTAGGTGGTTATTTACTGCAACTTCTGTTCATGCCTTAATGACATTTATATGCTGTTGCATGCGGATTCAGGTACAACATAAGTCAGATGGAGGAGTGGCTTCGGGATAAGAACTTGAAACCAGAGTGGAGCGGTGGCCACCATCGAGCCTCTTATCCAGGCTGCTCAGCTGCTGCAGCTTAGGAAGAAGACTTCTCAGGACGCTGAGGCTATCTGCAATACGTGCAGTGTGCTTAGCACACAACAGGTAGGGATCCATGTAGCAGATTTAATACTGATGTTAAATTACAGCCTGTAACTGAGTGCTCAGTCATGCACTGTTTTTTTTTTTCCATCAGATTGTAAAGATCCTCAATCTTTACACCCCCCTGAATGAATTTGAGGAGAGAGTCACTGTGTCCTTCATTAGAGACATACAGGTATATCTCTTCCATCCATAACTGGCTACTTTATTTAACAGTTTAATCACATGTTCACTGTATTTCCAAAAGTTTGTAGATTCCCATTCTAAAATGAAAGTGAGTTCAGCTACTTTAAAGTGTACCTGTTTACAAAGGCATTGAATTGCGAACAGTTTATAAAACCTCCACAGAAGCGCACTGTCAATAAAATGGTACATTCTCGAGCAGCAACCTAAGGTCACCATGCCCAATTCTGAGTGTTGGCTAGAAGGCCTCTGTGGTGGTGGAGCACCATCTAAAAGCCTTTGGGATGAGTTGGAGTGGACTTTGTGATCCAAAAATAATCATCCAACATCACTACCTGAACTCACTAATGCTCTTGTTGATGAATGCAATCAAATCCTCACAGCAGTGCTCCAACATCTAGTGTAAAGCCTTCCCAGAATAGTAGAGGCTGTTACTTCAGCAAAGGAAGGGAAGATGATCTTTTAGTAACTTTGATGTTGGAACAAATGCTGGATGAGCAGGCGTCTACAAACTTCTGGACATGCAGTTTAATTTTCTGATTGTTGTCGATTGAGCACTTCTGCAACTGCAAGTAATATTTAGGTCATGGGTTCATTGTCCAGGAATGGTGATGATGATTAATAAAAAACAGCTAATACATATGTAAATATATATGATAATGCCTGCGAGATAACTGGCCGTTTTCTTTTCAGAATCGTCTCCAAGGCAGAATAGAAAACAACCAGCTCCTGGTGGACACAAAGCACACATTCCCAGTGCTGTTCCCCTACACTCCTTCAGCCCTGAGTCTGGAGACCATCCACATCCCTGCCTCTCTCAACCTGGACTTCCTCATACGAGTCTGACCTCTCAGTCTGTTTCTCTTTTGCTCTCTCATGGACCCCACTGAAGCAGACCTGCAGGGGAGTACCCCCTAGCACAGCCCCACCAACCAGCATACAAAAACCCTATAGCTGGCAGGGATACATCAGCAGCCAGCGAGCCTTTCTGGCAGACTAATTTCTGTGTTGTGGCACTTTCCTTTCTATTTGGTGTTAAGAAGCAAATCATAATGTGTGCAAAGAAGAACATCAGGGTGTTACTTGGGAGATTCTACAATACTGAAATGAACAGAGCTTCAGTTTAGCCCTAACAGATCTAACAGTTTTTGTTTTCTACATCAGTTCATTCTTTCTTTGCAGCTAATGATTAAAAAGGCTATTCCAGTCTCTGCACTGACACAGGGACATAATTTCTTTCACAACTCATTCACATCTTTTATTAGGTTTTCTTGTATGTGGCTTAACAGCCAGCAGATCTAGTCTCTCAGCTGCTGCCAGCAAAAGCAGGAGAAACCTCTGCATTGCAGTGGCTGCTGTCCGTGACTCACTCTGTCCAAGTGAAGCCCATTCTTTCTCTTTTTTTCCTGCCTGGAAGAGTTCTGTGCCTGCAGCCAGTCCTTTTCTCTGAGAAGTCCAGGCAGCACTTGAGCAGGCTTCCAGAGAGAGGCTTTGACAGCCTGAAACTGTTATGTCACAGCGTTAGTGTCCTGTGCCATACAGCTCTCCTAATACACAAACCGGTCAGGAGAGAGATGGACAGGAGAGCGGCAAATCAAAGTTGAACGGTGGAGCAGAGAAATGAGGTGTTGTAGGAGACGGGAGGTACGTGAGCTGAGATAGTAAATTCTCTGTTTGGAATAAGGGAATGGTAAATATTTTACGCTGAGAACTAAAGGGGGAAATTTGTATGTGTTGAAGTGAAAGGCATTTGGAAGTGGGGTGCAGGAAAGTGAGGAGGCGCTACAGTTCGTATACCGAGGAAGGAATTATAACAGAAGAGAGGACCTACAAAAAAACATGCCATGTGTCTTTTTTTTGTCACATCATGTTGATTTACAGATTAAGGAAAGTTATACATGCAATCCCAGAGCAATAACTGCAAAACACTGTTTTCTAACAAAGAATATTTTACAATCTGTTTTTTTAATCTTCGTTCATACATCTGTAACATGTCAACAGCAAAGACCAGGCTATTGGTTTGAAATACAGCTTCCTTCTCTAATTGTATTTATCTGTTTTATGATATAAATGCACTGTTTTGCCTACTCTAAAGCAGCAGTGAGTTTTGAACTAGAGAGGGAAGGCTTTCGACTCTGTCTCTCTAAGATTCAGAACTCTCATTCATACATCATTACCAATAATGAATGGCTCTGTGGGTCTCTGTTAGCTTTATACCACTTTTCAATGCCAATAAAAAAAGACCATTGTGGAGTTTCTTTCAGTGTTGTGTTCATATGTGGAAAAAATATACGATGAATATATTTGCTTTGTGAATGTTTCCTTTTTTGTAATCCTCGGATGACAACGCTTTTACAGCAGATTCACTCTTTTGTGTATTTATTAGCTTACACAATGTCATATTCTAAACAAGGCTTCATTTGAAGCTTTTGGGAATTTGTACTGCCCCCTGCTGCCTGTTCAGTGCTCCACAGCTCTCTGATGAATAACAGGAGTAGAAGTGCTGATCTAGAGTCAGATTCATTTCTTATTTACGATGACGTTACTTACAGGAACAGATCATAGATCAGCACTCCTACTCGGAGATGCTTCATGAAGACCCAATCAGCTGTCAGAAACATCCCAATGCCTCTTTTTCATGAAACCATGAAAGCTGCTTAACTGCCTACACATATATTTAATACAGTTCATACCACAAAGATTTGCAGTTTGTATTTTACTTGCGTGTGCCATAGGAATTTGCCATTTTATTCCTTTCTACTCTATTGTGTACAGTAGCAGTTACAACATCATCAGTCCCTTTTTATCAGCTAGGGGGCAGTAATTGTTCTGAACATCTCTGTCAAACTTCAAAACATTCAAGTCAACAGCTTTCATACAGAGTGTGATTGTGATCTATACACTATACAGTGTTGTACACTGTATGACTAATCCAAATACAAATACTGTCTACAGATACAAATTCCATTTAATGGTACATCTCATCAAATTTGTTTATATATTTAAAGAAATATATTTTCTGGGAACTTTCTTGCACCACTTTTCCATACCTCTGACCTCTGTTATGAAGTGTAAAATAAGATTATAATGTGTGTAGTCTGAAAAAAAAAGAGATGTAAAGCTGTATGAATCTGTTGTTCATTCTGATTTCTCATGCAAAATAAAACTGCTCGTCATCACATTTTGACTAGTATTTATGCTGACTTCTTTGTTTTCTGCTGTTGTTTCCCCTTTAAAGTGCAGCTGAGCGTTTTGTATCGGCCAGTTCCTTCTTTCTAGACGTCTAGTTTGGTCAGCTTTTATCTGGAAATCTAACTGGTTTGTTCCTCCGATCACAGCAGTAACAGCACGAAAGCTAATGTTGGGGTACTACTCAAAAACTCAAAAAGTAATAAATTACAAATTACTTCCAGTATTTAGGCTACTACTACTTGCTTCTCTCAAACTGTAATGGGGTTAACTTACTTATTGCTTCCTGGAAAAGTAATCTCACTACTCATTTCTTTACTTCTAAGTCACTGTCTAAAACACATCTGTACCAACTGGAGAGTACAAGATAAAATCCAATAGTCTTTTTCAGTGGTAAAAAAAATAGCCAATGAAACTAAACATCATTTGAAAGGCCTGTCACTAACCACAGATTATTATGTGCAGTGAGGAGAATTGCCACTAAATAATGTCTCCCATGTCTGAAATGATCCCTTAGTCACTATAGACCACGTTAGTCGTGTCGTCATTTTGTGGTCGGCGCCATGTTCTTTTGCCCATATTAGGAACTCCGGGTCTGAGCTCCATTTCTCTATGGCCAGAATGAATAGGGTTTTCGAAAAATCGCTTCTATCGCACCGTGTGTTAAATAAACATGTTCAGAACCCGATACGTTTTGTCCTGTGTTTATTTTTCTCTCAAATAACACTGGATGCTCCGATTTACAATGTCGTTAAAGAGTTGAAATATTAATATTGCTACATGTGAGCTAAAGCTACTGCGCACTGAATTCACGTCATTAGACTGACAGCCTCCTTAAGCAGGTAATCACCCCCTGATAAACTGATTTCGGCTATCAGAATATATTAATTTTTATTTTAATGCTGGTAACATTTTTCTGAGGACATTCGTCAGCTTTTTGTTCGACTTGTCCCGTTCCACCTTATGTGGTGCAGCAGTCGTGTTCTGAACTGCTGCGCCATTTAAGGTGGAATGAGGAAATTCGAACAAGTAGGCGGCGAAAAAGAAGCGGACTTCAGCTTCATGGAGGGTTGAAAGGTATGATATGAGGAGGTTTCTCTATTTCCGCTTAACAGATGAGTAACATTAACTTATTTTTGCTGTTTCACAGAACAGACAGGTCAGTATTTTGTCTCTTTTGCTAATGTTTGTTACCGCTAGTCACAGCTGCTGCACCATTTAAGGTGGAACGGGAACATTCAAACAAGAAGCTGCGAAAAAAGAAGCTAAATTCAGCCTCGTAGTTTTAACACGGGTGGTGTTTTTGGTAAGGAGTTTTAGCCTATCAAATATCCTACCTAGAGGTAGGGCTGGGCAGTAAAACGATAACGATAATTATCGCGATATAACTTTTCCTCGATAGAGCGATACGACATGTTCGATAAATGTTCGATATAATGCACCATTCTCACACTTCCACGTTCAGCGAAAGCCTTGGTGGCGTTTTCTACTGCAAGGAAAGAGACACTACTGTGCTGTCGCCAGGAGAGGGCGCACTTCCGAGTTTTACTACATGATTAGAGAGGGAGGGGGCCACGAGTAAGATGAGTCTTTAGCAACGGCTGAAACGCAGAGTTATACATTCCCTGTTTGAGCGGAACGACAGGCGATCTGTTCTCCTGTGACCGAGTCTGAGTGACGAGGTCAGTGGTGTAACTGTACTGTCCTACAGTGAACTCACCTCTTTGTGTACATCCTAACCAGCTTTAGCAGCATTAAATCACAATCCTCACAACTCCAGCGCTGTTACAGCGCTCGGACAGTCATATTTAAATGTTAGTGCATTCCCAAGCAACGAAAGTGAAAGAAAGAAGTGGGTTCATGCAGTTACGGCCCTGATGTAAACAAAAGTAAACTGAGGAAGCTGTGAGGCATTGGAAAGCGGGAGAGCGCTAGCTTTCCAGGCTAGCTGTTTTTAGCAGCTGGCTAACTTAAAGTAGCGCTTCGTCACTGCACGACACGGCGAATTAATGATACTGTAGATCAAACACGACACAAAAGCACCGCTTTCAGTTTAAACATACCTAAAAGGAGGACTCTGTTTGTCTGGTGTTGATATTTTGCGGTTCACCCCTTAAACTACTACAATTGAATATCCAGTCGTCGCTAGCTGGTGTCTGAATACTGTGATGTCATTTGTAGCGGGGTAGCCGAGCGCTCGTCACCAGCTAAAAATAATGTTTTCTTTCTTAAATTATGACTATTACAAAATAGCCATGCTTTTCCAGCTGGTAAAAAACAGCTCACCAGACACTCTCTCCCACTCTCCCATGACAGATTTGTGAAATGTTCCACTGTTTGGTGAGTGTTTGTTGTGTTCCGACCATAAAGGATAGTTTAAAACAGCAATTAACCACCCAGGAGCAAAATCAGCCTTCAAACTTGAAAGAAATAATGATGTGACATTTATCGCGATATGTATCGATATCGAACAATAAAAATTTTGTTTATCCTGATAACATTTTTGGCCATATCGCCCAGCTCTACCTAGAGGTTTTATTTACGGTAATACCTGTAATTATGCGCTACGGTAGAACGTTTCGATAAGGTAGCACAGCCCGCCTTAGTGTCGCGTAGTTTAGTGACATCAAATTGATGCGCAGTAGCTTTAGCTTCAGCAATATTAGTATTATAGCTCTTTACGACCTCGTAATTCGGAGGATCCAGTGATATTCGGGAGAAGAATGTTCACAGGACAAAACGTATCGGGTCCTGAACATTTTATTTAACATGGTGCGATAGAGACGGTTTTTCGAAAACCCTATTCATTCTGGCCATAGAGAAATGGGGCTTAGACCCGGAGTTCCTAATATGGGCATAACGAGTACTACAGAATGACGCACGACTAACGTGGTCTATACCCTGCATAATTCGTGATAGTAGTAAACAATTTCGAATACAAATGAGTCTGACTGCACAGGTGAGAATAGTTTATTTACGTCTGTAACAGGTCTGAAGAGAGGTCTGTGGAGACTCTGCCATTGTAGCTGGGCTCGTTAATCCCCTTCAGACAAGTTGCTCGTGAATCTTCAGACCAGCCTCCCAAATCCGCTCGGGTACATCGGTTGTACTAGAGAACTTGCAGAATTGAGAATTACAGCTCTGTAATTTCTTCCAGGTTTCTCAAACGCTAGAGGGCGCTCCCGAGTCCAAAATGAATGGGTTAATATGGAGCATTTCAGCGTTTCACGTTTATAAATGCTTAAACATTTTAATATAAAAGATTACATTCATTTCCTGAACACAGAACAACATTTAACATTTTAACACTTATATTTTTAAGAGCTTTTAAACTCCATTTATAGAAGTTTAAAATGGCACCTCATGTACGTTCATGACGCAAACAGCCAATGAGCTGCTCCGCTTGCCAACCAGTCAGCACTCAGTAGCAGGAATGCCAGTGTCCTCATCCCCAAAACCTGTTTGCTGTAGAAAAAAGGAAACATACAAGTAAGTTTTCTTTGCTTTTTACTGAAATCTTCTACTTTCTAAAATTAGATGAAAATTCTGGGCAAGTGATTGGAAACTATTTTAACTTTTCATTTTTATTCTTTTAGTTTCATTTACCCCCATTCCCGCTCGCAGGTTCCCTCTGGCGTTTTGCAGGCATGTTTTTGATGTAAGTGGAGCAATAGGAAGAGGCCAGGATCCTCATAAACCAGCTCTAATTGATAAGACGATTTGACCGATTGTTCTTTTTCCTGCACTACACTGCGCTGCTCTTATTCTCAAAGCAACACTGTTAGCTGTTGAGAGCTGGTTTATGAGGAGCCTGGCCTCTCCCTATTTCCCCCCACTTATATCAAAAACAGGACTGCAGAACGCGAGAGGGCGCTCACGAGCGAGTCCTCAATGAATGGGGGTGAATGCAGCTAAATGGCTAAAATGAAAAGTTAGAATAGTTTCTAATCACTTGCCCAGATTTTTCTTTTAATTTTAAAGAGTAGAAGGATGTATTCCATTAAAAAAGCAGAGTAAACTTACCTTTATGTTTCCTCTTTTCTACAGCAAATGGCGTTTTGGACAGCAG